AGCGAGTCACCATTCCGATCACCGTTGGGCCGGCCTTCGGCTTTCTCATCCGGCCAAGCATCATTCGGCCATCCTGTATCGCTTGACAACCAAGGAGCAGCATATAAAGGGTCACCGTTTAAGTCATCGCCTTTGGGTCAACCCTTGCCTCTAGACAATGCACCACTACTGGAGGTCGGAAAACCAGTGTTTGGCCAGCCGTCGCCTTTGGGTCAGCCCTTATCTCTAGACAATCCCTCGCCGCTGGGGATCGGCCAGTTACCATCGTCCTCCAAAACAGCGTTTGGTCTACCAACAACAAACAATCGCCCTTCATTCGAAAAGCCGTCTTCATTCCGCGACCTATCATGGCTCACAAAACCAATTTTCAAACCAGCCTCATCCTTTGCCAAGTCACCGTTCACCAGGCCGCCCGATAGTCATGAGCCATCTAGCCACTAGATCGATAAATTGCTATCCTTCCCAGGCCACTCCTACAGATACTAAGTAGATTGAAGAAAATCAATATCAGGGAAGCCCAACTATCATTTCCAATGCATTACAAGTCCTGTCAACTCTCTATTTTTTCAAATTGCGGCAGTATCTTTACGTTATTCTTGCTGAACTTGATGGCATATAATTGTGTAGGTGCTGAGTTATATCTAGCTGGTTAACTATCGTGCTTTCTCTGCGAATTTTGTCATCCCAGTGTACTCGTTATATAGCTAGGAACTAATATAGTTGAATAGATTCGGGTGCTAAGAATGTAAGAGATGTCATTTTAGAAAATAAAACCATCACCCTGAGAGCGAAAGCAATACAGATTTTGGCTACGTATGTAATTTAACTATCGACCTGGTCTTTGCGCTTGAAATCGGTCTTAAAATACATAGAAATAGATAATTAGTCATTATTTTGAAGCTAAATACATACAAACAGAGGCGGGCAACTATCACACCAGTGCCTATAAATGAATGTTATGCACTGTATTCTGGTGGAATTTATATCTTGGAAGTCAGTATAAAACTACATCACAACCAGGGTAGTCGCACGTGCGACCTTTCGGAAATTTTGCCGGTAGCTTATGTGTTGTAAAGTGTCTTTGTAGTGTATCCTTTCGAGCGTATTGATATGCTTTTGCTCTAGCGTGAATGCCAGAGCGACCAAGGCAAACTGGGCACTCGAGCCCACTGTAACTCAATGGAGACGGAGGAGTATTCTCAGACACCCTTGCCGCTGGAGGCTGGTCGAAGCGGATTCGCTTCTGCAATGCTATCGGAACATCAAGCTGGTGCAGAGCTATGCGCAACTCAAGAGAGCGGATACGGTCCTCGACCAGTTCTGCATCGTTGATATTGTCCACATCTCTGTTTTTAAACTCAAGCTCTGCGAGGGCTCTTCTCTCCGGTACCACATGTGAGGTGTCATATTCAAACTTAATCGGCTCGCCTTGGTAATTATGTTCAATAATCCGATTTCCAATACTCTCGAAGAACTGACTATATTGCTCATCTTTGGCGGACTGATGAAGCTTCTTCCTTTTCGCCCGGACTCTGTTCTGTGCTTCCTTGAAACTCCGATATAAGTCCGTTTCTCGACCCTTATGTAACTGGTGATACATAGATATCAACTGGCCTCGAAGCGAATCGCGTTCGTGTTGCAGCCTAATAAGCTCCGGGTCCTTTTCAAGCTTTTGCTTTAGCTGAGGGCTCAGCTCCTGAGGTGCAGATGCATCCCGCGTTAAACCTGAGTTAGTAGAGAGTTTAATCAGCGCGTCTCTCGAAGGGGTCTCCATGAAGGCAGACTGAGTGTCGTCCTGAACCTGAACGTAGTATGCGAAGGTTCCACTTCTCTTATGGCCCATAATAACATTCCGAGAGTGCTCATCTAGGTGTCCTAAAGATACCGGCTAGGAAATATAACAAGATATAAGGGGTGTTGCTTACTTAATTTAGCTGCTGCTGCTTTTCGGTATTTATATAAAGAACCAGGGTTCTTGTGCCGTGCTGACTTGCTGGTGGAGATTTCATATTCCTGTGCTCGACTGTATGGTAAAGCTTGAGTGGGGTGGGTAATCCATTTACCCTCGGAATCTTTCACAGCGCGGCGGTATATGGGGATTTCCTGGACACTCTCTTTAAAATGTATAGGGGTGCTCAGCCGATGGGCTGGGACATGTGTATATCGCCAGATATCTCGGGGTTCCTTGATACGATCACTGGCAAAAGCACCATCACAGAAGGCGTATTCTAGTATATCTTGGATTACACAGAGCCCGAGATTGTCATTCCGTTCTGTGTACGTAAAGATTGGCCTTTGACCTATTAGCACGCTTCAGTGTTGAGGGGCTCCTAAACTTACGGAACACCTTTGTTTCTCTTGCCTTTATTTAGTCGTTGTTTTACTCTCATGAGAAGGGCCTGACAAGTTGCATCTTCTGGAACTAATACAATCGAATACACTATTTGTGTTAAGGATATAGGAGATATCATATCAGCTAATAAAACGCTTTCCCCTAAAGGCGACGACAGTGGCACAGATTTTGACTACGTGTATAAGGCACCTATCCCACCTTCGCGTTTGAAATCGACCTCAAAATGAGTAGAAATAAATGTAACTAATCAAGACTAAATACATAGAAGAGAAACGGGCAACTATCAAGCCAGACAAAAGTTTATCTGAATGCTTTTTTGGAATGCTATATACTGTTCTCTGGTGAACTTATTACTTAGGAGTAAGGATAGAGTCATATCACTACTAATATAGTCGTATCTGTAACCCTTTGGGTCGCTGGTAGCTTGTGTTTTAAAATATCTCCCACGGCTGTCTTACTCTGAAGCAAGACTGGCTCTATACAGAAGGTCAGCGATATATAATTTATCTAAGTGAGGATCTTATTATTTAAATTGTTGTATTCATAATCGCCTGGCGCCCTTGACAATGGAAAATCAATACTCTACATGAACTTTGTCTTTATATAAAATCTTTTAAATGCCGCCTTAAATTACTATGATGAAGGTAGATAAAAGGGCAGAATAATGGTATTCACATTTGGAAATGCATAAATTATCTTTCATCCTTAAACACGAAAGCGGCCTGTGACAATTTTAAGAGAGGAGAAAAAATAAAGAAAAGAAAAGAAAAGAAAAAAGGGAGACGGAGAGAGAGAATTATTGGCCATGGTTTGCAGAATTGAAATCCGTGGCCCGAAACCAGAACAGTGGCCTTTGGCGCTTATTTAAAATGTGGTAACACACCAGTGTCCAACAGCAACCAAAAGTTCCGTCTGCATTGATTGAAATTCTGTTAATTACGCTGAGGGTCCGCAAACGACTCTTGCTCTCGATTCATATCATGACGACCAAAATACGGACTATCCGGCACCGGCGATCGAATAGTGCCAAGTCAAGGTGCCAACAACGAAACCGACGGAAGACTCAGCTGTTTCTCAAGGCATATGAATATTGCCAGGAGTGCGACGCGGATATTTCCTTGACAATTCGATTGAGACATAGCGGCGAGATTGTCTATTTCAATTCAGACGGAGCCTGGTCGCCATCAAAAGAGCAGCTAGTAGGTGGATTTATTAACCCTGTCGGACGTGAGAATCTAATTAACTTAGGCGACGTACTATCCGAGGCCCAAACAGGTCACTTGGCAGGAGATCGCTGCTCGATATAATTCCTAAATATTAACACGAACCTTGATATCAGAGCAGAAAGTTACGTGTACCCCGCTGCTAGAGCATATGGGTAGATCAGGCTTCTTAAGTTCCGGTAGTGGTTGATTTGTGGACATCTATAGGGGATGTATCGCGCGTGGTGGTGCCTCCACCAACCATTGTCTTGGACACCGAAAATATCCAGGCTACAGTTTCATATACTAGAGTACGCACGCTTTGTACTTGTAGCCCTGAAACGATAGATAGAAACATTATATAATATGGAAAGGTAAAGAATTATGTGTTCTAATAACATGCATGAATATGGATGTGCACCAAAGCATCGTATCATAAATGTCATGAGTCACATAAACATCGATGTAATACATTTTTTAAAGTGATGACCTGAGCGTAAATATACCCTAGATCATGTGGAATTGATATTATCTCTGAAGTACATGAATAGTTAAAGAAATTATGTCACTTACTTGCTTCTAAGAGTTAGCGCGGGGTACCTATGCATTTGAGGCGGGTTACGGTGTAGGCACGGATCTTTGCTTTCTATAGTAATGAGGAAAAGGTAAGCAAGCTCGATCTGTAGCGACTTTCCATGCAGTAGATAATAAAAACTAAATTGGGCCCAGAGAAGACAACGGCCGGCGAGAGACAATTCCATGTACTTGCTCCGCGTGATTCATTAATACTGACTTATGCAGCAGATCCTCATTGCAGACATTACATCGGACGCGCACATCCTTCGGGAAACGTTTGATGTGCTTATCAATAAAGTGCCGGGTGAGAGATCCGGGAGTACTATACACCCTCAATCGCTCCATAGCGGGAAGCTTGGAATTTGCAACACATAAAAAGCAAATTGTCGGCCTCTCGCCTGCAGATTTGATGCAAACTGACGCCATTGCCTGACGGAAAGCAGTATCAACATCATCCACCCGCGGAGATCCCTGTCTTCTCGCAGAAGTAGGCGGCAACCCGTCAGTAGCGCGACGTTTTTTGTTCGCATTTGGTTGTCTAGTGGGATATCCCTCCTGCACATCACAGAAGGCAATAACTGCATTGATCGCAGAAATCCGGCGCTTATATTCCTGTTCAACAGTAACACCCGGCATGGTGAGAACAGTGTCGATAAGCGTCATATGTTGCGGGGTCATATATCCAGTACGCTGCAACGCCTCCATCACTTCTTCATCCACAAGTCTTCCTGCAAGCTGCCGTTCAACATCGATGACTGGTTGCTCATTCTTATATCGCTCCAGATTCTCTCGTATCAGGCGGTTACGTTGTCGTTGCCATTCATTCCGATACTTACGTTGGGCCTCGTTGTATTTCCTGACTGCGCGAGTGTATTGTCTTTCATGTCGGTGTATGTCTCTGAGTGCCAGATGAGCAGGCTGTGACAATTTCTTGACCATTTTCTTTCCTTGTTGGTAAACCCCAAAGGTTTTCTCAAAAGCCTGTTTCGCCGTCTCAAAAGCCAGCTTCATCTGGTCTAGGTTGCCCTTCCTTACTTGGCAATGTTTCTTCAAAACAGCCACACATGGAACTTCGTTGACACAGCTCGTATCATCCAGCTTATATGGTCGCCGGGGGTCAATTGAACGACTCATAGAGGCAGCGAACCGTAATAGTTGTTTCGCAGCTGGCAGTCCCCGAACGATCGCCTGGGCATCGACGTGGATGCCCACGCTATAGTGCTTTACGAAAGTATTAATGCTGGCATGTTGCAACATCACATTCTGCAGCTCATTGGTAACGTCCGCTGTCCAGTAAGAAAGATTAGTGATATTACTCCGGACTCAAGCAGTTCTTGACATTAATGATCACTCACGGCTGTCATTGAACGCTTTAGCAGCTCCGTAACGGAGACCATATGGCTTCGTGACCTGCTCGAAACCAGTAATCTCACCCCCACGTTTCATTCGGTATCGCAGAAACCCATCCGTGAGTTGTTCCTCCAAGGCAATTCGAAAGCCATCTGCCTCGCGCACTGCTTGGCAGAACACGAATTGATCGAGAATCTCATCTTTTAGTTTTAGCTCTTGCTGTCCGAGACCTCCTAGAACACCAACAGCATACAGATTTTCTGGACAGTCCAGCACGGGCCCATTGGTCGAGAAACTCTTGAATGCTTTGATACGAAACAGCATACCAAGAAGAAATACGTGCGGACTAAGGACTAAGGACGGGTCAAAGATGATTTCTGGGATAGGAAATGTATTCCTAGTTTACACAGTTAGCAATGGTCCGCCATATGACCGGCCCAATACGTCAGCCAGAACGATGCCAGTGCGAACTTACGGCTCCTTCTCACCTAAGAAGGTCTTAGTAAACTCCGGGGTCAGATATACAAATAATCGAGGACGTCCTCCCTCCGGATCCCGGATCAAGGTTAATAAGAGGTTCCGATAGCGTAGGTTCAATAGAGCCCCAGGGCGGCTTCCTGTGATAGCTGCCAGCTGGCAGTAGAGGAGCACTTGTACGCGAAGCCAACCACATTCAAAAGTCATCTCCGTGGTGGATAGAAGTACGCGAGCGAACTCGGCCACATCCTCGATGTACATCGTGGCTTTCGGGCGGCGTCCGAGCAGAAGCCTTTTCTCTTCTGCAATGATTGCCAGCACCTATAAAGAGTTAGCCTTACCTTCGCCAGCAAGCTCGTCGTATCTCAGTTGCTTACATCTAAAATCTTCACAGTGGTGTCCTTGCTAAGCCCTTGGCCAACCTCTGCCTTATAAACCAAATGCCACCACTTCCAAAATGTCTCTAATGAGCTCTTATATTTAATCCCAGGGGATTTGCGGCCCTTCTTTCCCCGTCGGCGATCGCATCTCCAGGAGAAGAAAGCCTTCAAAAATCGCACCGTCTCCTCCGAGTCTGCCAGCCAATGAAAGCGTTCCACCGGATCATACTTGCTATCACGACAGAAACTACCAAAGCGCGCTGGCAGTTAGTAATAAAGCAACTAATTCATTAAATACTTCATACCATTCCCAATACTCTCGGGCCTTATCCAATTTTTCCTGGGTGCGCGGACTATATCGTTTCTGTCGAAGCCGCGAAATATCGAAGCACTCAGCCTCTTGGAGGTAGTGTTCAGCAGAAAACTCCTGGGCCTCCCCATCGTCTATAATGGAATCTGCATCCGAATCATCAGAATCGTTGTCACCGCTATTTGCTTCGGATCCACTTTCTGAGGAATTATCGTTCCCATCATCCGAGAAGACATCCGATACATCAGTGCCGGAGTGGCTGTCATTGTCAGACTCGGCCGCTCGAGTGGAATGCCGCATGGCCGAGAATGTAAGCAAGAATAAAGATAGATCAAATACAGAAATAATTAAGAAGGACCGGGATTCTCTGATATATTAGAGCAGACAGTAGACAATGTACAACTCGCTGATAAGCGAGGGAAAAGAACGTTTAAGATAGCCATGGCAGTGGCAGCATTTAAAGAATTAAACACGACAGAATAGGGGAGCCTATCCTAGCTCTCTTCAGAGACATGCAGGGATTTGCCTCAGCGACAAGAAGCCCTCTGGTGGCGGCATCATCATGGGTTAATGGAGTAAAGAATAGCCAGTAACAGGGGTGGGCCAAGATCAACCAAAGCGTGGTGTGGTGGTAGAGACGGTTGGCCGTGGTATTAAGGATATGTCGTGCCAAGACCGGAGCTGGTTAGGGAGACTCACAAAACGGCGTCAAGTGCTGCCGTTTTTGGCCACTGTCTAACTGTTTCATCGTTAAATAGAGTATTCAATTAAATAATATCTATAATTTTAATAAAATTGGCTTTATAATAAACTTAATATCTATTATTAAAGTAATTACTTAGGTTGAGTTAACTAGTAGACCTTTTCTTTTATAATTAAAGAACTAGGAATAGGTTACTTCTATTAAATATATTAACTTTAAAGAGTTTTTTTTATTTTACCTTATTTTTAAAGGTAAAGTCTATATTAAAAGCTAGTACAAGATAAATCTACTATTAAATTAGCATATAAAAACGAGTACAAATAGCTAAACTATTAATAAAATAAATCTACGTTAACTATAGTAGCTATTTATACCTTTTACTACTAATTATATAGTTAATTAATATTAGCTTTTAATACTCGATAATCATAATAATTATTTAATATCTTAATTTAATAATATATACAATTAAAATAATATTATACTACTCTATATACCTGCGTACTTATCTTATCTACTTCAACCACTTAATATAGACTACTTTAACCCTCTAAAACGCGCGTACGGACAGCTAATTAAAAATAAAATAAGATTAAGCTTTAACTATATTAATAAATTTAATTTTTTTAAAGCCTTTTCTTAAATAAAAGCTTAAATATATATTACTAGTAATATTTACAGCGGTTTCTTAACTACTAATCTTATTCCTTTTAATTTTAAACGCGTATTATTTCAGCTAAATATTTAATTGAAAGTAATATCTCCAGATAGTAGATCTAGTAGTAGATCTACTAATTTAGTATTTAAAATATCTTATAATTTAAAATAACTACAAAAGCAGGAAATTATATTAAAAAAATTATTTAAAGCTTATATAAAAAGCCCTAATTTACCTACTAAGATTGTAATAAAGCAACTTTTCAAAAATTATAAATAAGCTTTAAATAAAACTACTATTATAAAGTAGAAAGCCAGGGAACTATATACCGCGTATAAAAAAATACTTAAAAAGAAAAAGCGCTCTACTAGACAGCTACCTATAAAATTAGGCGCTTTAATTTAAAAAGCTTAGAAGCTTATACAAAACAAAAATTCTACTATAGAGTCTATAACTACTACTTTAGTAGATATAGGCGCTCTAGTAAAAAACCAACGTGTATATACTCTACCAAGGTATTCTAGCTGTAATATACTAGGACATAAAATTACTCAATATCCTAATCGTTAAACTATTTAAATTTTTTATAGAAATATATATTTTTCGGTGTTTTGAATAGCTTCATTTCTAGAAGATACATAGAATTCTAGTATAGTGGCCGCTCGCCCGGGATGGCCGCTCGCCCGTGGATTACGTTACTGTATCTCTATTAATAATCTCTCTACATATAGTTAACTAATAAACTACACTAGGCAATCAAGAATCAAATATATATTAGTATGTAAACCTACCCTACTTAAATAGAGATGGACATTTTGGTGAGCCCTTGAGGGTATTTCAGAATTCAAGGATCCAAGATCGTCCTTTTCGCGACTACCAGGAAGAAGAATAATACTGTATAAAAGTAGGGAGGGGAGAGAGTTCTATAGTATTAGTGTAGAAAATGTGAGGTAGGAGTTGGTTGATTCTTCTGGATTATCTCGGGGCTATCTGTTGTTTAAATATCCTGCCTAGGTCTTCTCATTCACCTACTTTGTTCCTTTGCCTCCCAGATCATATCATTGTGGATATCCTTTCCAAAGCAGTGATATAGTGAATACTTTGGACAGCGCCAAGTTCAACACATTAGATACTAACTATTGAAGTCACGCTACCCGCCCCCGGCATTCGGATAGCCCCGACTTCTCCGGACGGATCTCCGGACCAACTAGGATCCGATCCTATATAAATACACTTTGGGTCCAAGGAGTTTACCTCTTGACACCATCGAACACCATCACCCCCAAGGACCGGGCAGGGCAGTACTCGAACTCCATACACTCGCCATCAATCAAAGCACAGTGCTCTCCGTTGAACTCCTGGCCAGGAGGACACTGCGGGGGCCTTTCGCCAATACACTCCTTGGAAGCAGCATCCCACTTGGTGTTGATCGGACAAGAAGGGTCGGTTTCGGCAACACACTTCTTGCCGTTGAATTTGAGGCCGGGAGGACAGCCGGGAATCTCCTCCGAGGCACACTCGGTCCCGTCAAATACGGTGTCGGGGGGACATACAGGAGTATCACCCACACAGGCGGTGCCGTTGAAGTTGGTACCGAGCTCACATTCGGGTCGGACATCGGAGACACATTTGCCATTGCGCAAAGTGTAGCCGGGCTCACAGCCCTTGATCTCGGTGTTCACACATTCCCCATTGACCCACTTGTACAAGGGAGGGCAGGTGGGGTGGTCGATGGTGACACACTGAGTACCGTCGAAGATGAGACCCTTGTCACACTGGGGAGGTCCGGTGACACAGTCGTTGCCGGCAAGGACAGATCCGGATTTGCAGCTAGGGCGGGAGTTGGTGATACAGGTGCCGTTGCTGGGCAAGCTGCCGACGGGACACTCAGGACGGTTGGAGGAGACACAACGGTGTCCGTCAAAGATCGTACCGGAGACGCAAGAAGGCTGGTTGATGGTAACACAGTCCTTCCCATTGAAATATTTCCCAGTTTCACATTCGGGGGTGGTGACGACGCAGTTGTTGCCGTCAAAGCGTGCGTCGCCCTCACAGATCGGGGTGTCAATGCTCACACAATGTTCGCCTTCGAGCTTTGTTTCTTCGGGACAGGCGAGGGTTTCGGTCGAGATACAGTCAGAGCCCTTGAGCTGGTAGCCCTCGGGGCATTGAGGACTCTCCAATGAAGAGCACACGCTGCCGTCACGAGTATAGTCAGGAGGACACTCAGGGGGCTCGACCGATACACAGCGACTACCCTGGGGCTTAAACGTCGGGGGGCAGATGGGGACAGTGACAGTTTGTTTCTCACAGCGATCCCCGATCTTGATGAGACCAGGCGGGCAGTTCCCATCCACATCCACTGGGATGAGGCACACCTCTCCATTCCAAGTCAGACCCGCGGGACAGCAGCGAGCAGTGTTGGAAGCACGGTCCACAGACAGTTGGGTACTGGGATCACACTCGGCCTGACTTGTTGAGTAGCATTGACCGTTTTCAAACTCCTCTTCGGGTGGGCAGGAGGGGTCCTCTGTAAGGGTACAGGTCTGAGTCTTGGGGTTGAAGGTGGTGTCTTCAGGACAGGCTGGGCTATGAACCGAGACACAGTTCTGGCCTTTGCGCACGGTTTCCTTAGGACAGACGGGCTTCTGCTCAGACACACATCGCTTGACTGTCGAATCGAATTGGTTCCCCGTGGCACAGGACGGTTGTTTCTTGCTGACACATACACCATTGCTGAGCTCGGTCGTATCCTGGGGGCAGGTGGGGCCCTGGGAGCTCACACAGTCCTGGCCATTGAAGCGGTCGTCATTCGGACACGTAGGATGCAGTTTAGACACACAGACCTGGCCGTGGACCTCGAAACCCGTGGGGCACGAGGGGGGCACCTTGGACACACAAGCCTTATCCTGGAAGACTGTAGGGGGAGGGCAGTAAGGAGATACTTCGGTGACACACACCCGGCCGTTGAATTCTTCCCCGGGGGCGCATGCCGGCTTGGAGACGGACACACACTTGCCATCCTGGAAGATGGTGTTCTCCGGGCACTTAGGCACACCTAGTACACAGGACTGTCCGTCGAACAGGGTTCCCTCGGGACAACACTTCACCTCACCTGATACAGCATGGGTCAAAGGCTTGATGTCATCAAGCGTGTACTTGCGTCGGGGGGAAGAGAGTACATTCTGCTGGCCTGATGCTAGGATTGCATGACACAGAGGCGCCAGCAGGATCGCGACCGAAGCCGACCGTATGTTGATCATGGCAAACAAAACGAAACCACGTGGGCTGGCGCTTTACGAAAAAAGATGCTTTTCATATCGGAGGGAAGGAGGGCCTTAATATAGCTGCTGCTCGTTCGCACCTGAGACCCTAACTCATAGCAAATGCTACGTCCGAAGAGCGATACTCATACATGCTGAATGGAAGATCTCGGATAAGTGCGCCGCATGCATTCCGTCCGGTCAGATCTTTGAGATATTTGGAATGGGTGGGGCATGGGGCATAAGGTTCGATATGATCGACTTCAGCTCGGCCAAATCTGGGGAGTGTGCAGAACAGATCGGTGGAAAAGGAATCCGATTCGTCTTGGGGTCTAGCCAGCTCAGCTCAGCTTCGGTCCGCCCCGCTTCCCAGTCTCCACACAAATTTAATGAACTGCCGTCCTGAAGATACCTGGGAAAGTCTTGCCGATTGTCATACACCCTCGTGCTTGCATCTCGCACTCTTCCTATCCCTTGAGAATGAACGCGTCATCTTTCGTGTCCAAAAGGTTAATCAATCCAGACCCATCATAGGGGTATTGACATAGGATGGATGTCTGAAGATATGTGTCAATGCTGGAAAAGATGTGCATGCACGGTCTGCTTTTCAGCTCGGGACGCTTTCGAAAGAGGCGGAGTCTATTGAACACTAAAGTGAACTACCGATTCAGAGTTTGCTGTGGCTGGCTGTTCGGTTTCTTGCAAGGTAGCGACGTGCGGGACCAAAGCAGACTCAGCTCTGACATTCTTGACCGCAGTGGGAGTCGTCTCAAGACATGTATATCAGGCCAACAGGGTTTACCGAGCCAATTTTTCCGTCTCATCCAACCCAATTTTCACTCTGCTAACTATTTCCCTGGCCTGACCCTTTCCTTCTTCTCGGTTGCAGCCTTTGCAAGCTACAATGATCCTCAATCCTTCTCTGCTTGTCTTTATATCGGGCATTGGGGTTACCTGGGCTGCCTCGTCCAATTGCTTGTCGGGTTCCAGCTTCGACACATGCTGCTCTGATCGAGATGCTGTGGGCAAGGGCACCGTTGATGATGTCGTCATGAATTATGCCTGCGGAACTTATGCTAAAGATGAGACAGTGGGCTATGGAACGGTGCACAAGGGCGCCGCCAATGCCAAAGAATGCGCCGGGCTTTGTGCCCGTGACACTTCTTGCCAGGCCGGTTTCTGGTCTAAAGTGGGCTCCAAGTGCTACTTATTGAACAATAAGAGCTACAAGACATATCACAACAAAGGCACATTCTTGCTGTTCGAGAAAACCACCGAGGATCCAGAACCTGTCAATGACTGCAAGGATCAGCTCGAATCCGCCACCTCCCAGTGTAATACTGAGAAGGATAAGATCAAACAACAGGGAGCACAGATATTGCAGAAGTGCCAGGATGACAAGGACCAAGCTATCACCCAGGCCGGGTCCAAGTGCGAAGCTGAAAAACAAGCCATCCGCAAAGAGAATGCTCAAATGGCAGAGCAGGCCAGCAAGCAGTGTGAGGCTGACAAAGATCAGCTTCGCCAGCAAGCAGCGACCGCAACAAGTCAATGCGAAAAGGACAAAGCGGATCTCCAGACCAAGTTGACCCAGTGCCAGGCAAACGTGCCCGCGCCGAAACCCGTCCCGGTGATAGATCCGAACTGCGAAGCGAACAGCTGGGTGGCCATGTGTTCTAGTTGCTCCCAAGACACATTCGTTATCGACGGAAAGGAATTCAAGAAAAAGTGTGGTGTGCGCACTGTTGGCGCTCGTGAGGAACAATGGCTGTATCGCGCCTCCCTCATTGCGTGTATGAAGGAGTGTGCAGGTAGGAATGATTGTCTCGGGGTCGGTTGGAGACCCGCAGAAGGAGTACACGGAGTAAGTTATCAACCCAGAGCCCTCATATTCCAGCATTCGTACAGTTGACTAATACAACGTAGCACTGCCATGCCCACATAAGTATAGGGCACGGTCTCAGAAACGTCCCTGTCTGGAACGAGCATCTTCTCTACGTGACAGAGAGAGTGACTCCTTACTGATAGTCTCATTGTGAGTAAGTAGCATGCTTTACTCAAGAGTACGGAACATGGGCGAAGGAAGGGTGTTGCAACGGCTAAGGTTTCTGCTGAGTCGTAAAGAAAGTCATAAGCATAATACTTTACAGTCTGATCCATAGTAGATCAAAAATATACAATACTTGGAAACTCTATTCTGCAAAAACAGACTCGCTCCCTCTCCGTATATCATTCATACTCGGGGTTGATTTCAGTAAAAGCAAACAGGAGTGGCATATAACTGACTTTACCTCTCAGGGTTGCTGTCTCTTCCAGGCCGTTATAATACAAGCACAGTACACAGAGGTGAGTCGTATATTGCGATACTTCAAGGCCAACACACCTATACAGTATTCGTCCTGATAGATGCAATGTAGGTGGTTTCCACAGGTGGCAGTACAAATAGAGCACCCACCACTGCTAGAAACTAACACATAATGGACCGCAGAAAGAACGAATGCTGCCCACCCTCTCTTGATTGAAATGAGCTGAGACCCGAGCTATACACAAGTAGACAATCTCCCCCATTTCGCTTGAAATACAACCACCAGACCTGACAAGTGAACAAAAATCTGAACAATCCACTCGACTCTTTTCCCTCGCATACTGCAACAAACATCAACTCTCAGCACCAAAGTAAGATATCCCAAAACACCGCTATTTCCCTCGATTCACAGCCTTGTTCTGATTATCTATCTAGATGCCCCCTGTCACAGGTAAAATTCCCAGTGTCTCCAATAGCCGTGAGATTATCGATGGCTACAATGTCGAGTTCCGTGGCAATCTCACCCAAGGCATTGAAAAGAAGACATTCGCACTCCGCTACACTCGGATACGATAATATGGAAGACCTTGTTAGCACCTAACATGGTCGACCTTGAGGGTCTACCATCGACTGTCGGCGCCGCTAACATACGCTTTTCATTTATAGACCAGAACGGCGAAAGAGTCAGGCATGCTGGTCATCTCCCAAATTCTAAGTACTTCTCAGAGAACCACTATCACCGGCCAAGAAGCCTGAATCCTCATGAGGTAATTTAGAGACACTGGGGACACTGATCCAATACACAGTGTGGATCGGTGGGTAAAGATAGCCGATGAGGGATGACGAGGATGGGGAACCTCACTAGCACTTTATCGATAACGTCGACGGTATCTATGAAGATCGTTGACAGAGTCAATGGACTTCTTCTTCTTAATTTCATTCCTATAAGTGGTGGGTATTACTTGTCGATATTGAGAATGTATTTATATAGTAGGACGTTATCGGATCTTTTCCCTTTATCGGCATATATCTATCCTAGGTTGTTGATGCCTTCACCAAAGAGGGTCCAGGTCTTTCTAGGTACTGGTATTTTATGCAATACCAATAGTCATTCAGCACAGTATTCTCTACATGGTCACCTCTAGAGAAGAGGTGATTAATACAAGTGCGCTTGTTTATTGCTAGAGGAAAGTCTATAAGTCAACATTATCTGCATTATCTGTAGGCACATGTCTCCTTTCTAAACCCCGATACAATAGGGCAGGGTGTGAAAAAGATCGTGGTGGAACTGTCACCACCACTCTGGTATGGTAATCACTATGTATGTCTCCTACGATCCAGGGTTATACTGGGGAAATGCCATTCAAGAGGCACAACCAGTACGAGGGAGAGATGCTCTCTCTGGCCAGGTGGCTCGCCCATTCTCTAACTACCGGGAACGCGGAGTACTAAGCGCAGTAGTTTCGTGAAGAAATGAATTGTAGCCATACTCATCAGTTCCAACTTCCAGCACCAGTTCTAACCACGGAGCTGATGTCATCGCTGTAGAAGAAAGACTGAATATGAGAATAGCTGCCTAATGGAATTAAGCTATCCTTTCTGCATGTTCGCTGTTGTTTAGGTTCCTTCCATATACATACGATCATAACAGATTGAACTAGAGACAAGAAGGCAAACAAGACAGCACAAGGATTAAAACAATAATACAAGAAAACATTAGCCCTAGCGCCAGGTTGCTAAGTTGCAAACTTCCGTCTTACGCCATAAATCAGAAGGGTCATCAGACAACCGTGTCGAGTGTAAGAAAGTAACCTGGAGTGAAACCATCATGACCGAAAGCGCCGTCTCTGCTGTATAGTATGTCTGTTGAGATATAGCAGATTAAGAAAGGGATAAGATATAGATCACCAGGAAATGGAACAAGATTAGTTGTAAGAATAGGTCAGGTCAGACCTAGCAGGAAACCAGATTGATGTGGTTATCATTAAGAGCAGCGCAGGCGAGAACAGTGCGGTGAGGATGGAATGCGGTGCTTGCGATCGGAGAAGAGCGGTTATGGTGGAGGAAACTCGAGTAAGGCTCGAATGTCGACAGATAGCTGCCGTCAACGTTGAATGTCTTGACTTCATGGCGGTTGGTGCCGCTGCAATTGCTTCAAGTTAGCCAAGTCCGCCATCCACTCAAAAGTAAGTCAGCACGTATATCACATACACCATGAATACTGGAGCGTGTTCATGAACGCTCAACGTTCGTAAGGTATCTTTAGTGGCATACAGCGTCGAGATTGGATTATCCATCCGAAGGTCCCAAAGTCGGATCTCACCGTTCCGACTACCAGACACCAGCTCTCTCAAACCACCCCGTTGCATGTGGACATTGGTAATCCACTGTTTGTGCTCGCGCCATACTTTAACCATAGAAGTCGTGGGCTTGATACGTTGATCGAATACTCTGACTGCCCCGTCACCGAAGCCAGCTACGAAGATATTACCCGCAACTTGATCGGAAGTCAGAGAAGTGATGCATGATCCTGAGCGAGCAGGAATGTCCTATAACATGTAAGGTCAGCATTCACCCAATAAACAATGTCTAACATCGAGACCTACATTGGTGCAAACTTCAGTCGCAGCATTCCATACTCGTATGACTTTCACATCTCCTGCGACTAGCGCTTTACCCTGGCCTTGTTGCCAATCGAGAACAAGCCCAGCGTTTCGGTTACTAGGAATAAGCTCTGGCAGAGCTCTGAAAGCTGTCACGATCTCGACATCACTTGTGGACTCGTAATTCCTGAACACCTTCAAAACTCCATCAGAAGAACCTGTCATCAGAAGTGCCTGATCATCTTCATTAATGTAACGGACTTCGTTGATCTTTGACCCTGGTGGATTTCCGTTAGAGAACCGATTGAGACGTTTGTGGCTTTGCCAGTCCCAGATCCTGATTGGGAAAGAAGAGAATGTCAGTATCAATCACGACATCAAAGTTCACCAGACTTACGCAATAGTATCTTTGTCATCCGCAACGGCGATATGATCCTCGAACTGATGAAAGCACATCTTCAGGGGCTGGCTGCTGTTAGAAAGAAGGGCTATGGAATTATCCCATCGGCTACTGCCGGCTTTACTCTTCAAGGGCTGCGTCTCTGTGATAATCTTTTCGTTGCGGCTTCGTCTCCAGAGCCGTTCGTTGTAGTCCGCGCTACCGGGTTCATCGGGCTCATTGGGTTTCATCTGGGGCTCCCGGAAATACTGAATAAGGGTGAGAAACTGTTTATAATCTTGGTTGTATTGCTTGCATATCAAAGCGAGAGATTCTGGGATTACCTCTGTGGACCAATCTAGGAACCTGCTCATCAAAGGGACGGTAGGGGGGATTGATGGGGCCTTGGGTTCGAACCCGCGGGATGTTGGAGTTGGAGCTTGGTGGTAGGCTGTCGCAGGGGCAACTTGGTCGTTAACTTCGGGGGGCCGGGTCCATTCCGGGGGGGCTCGTCCTCGTGGCGTTATGGGCATGCGACTCTTATCCGAGGCCGAAAGTTGCAACGACTGCGGCTCTGTTGATGAACCTCCAAAGGCAAGGTTTTTTAGCGACGCCGCGACACTAGCAGTCCGCTTCAAACTCAGCGAAAGATAGCCCTCCTGCTTTGGCGGAGCAACCGACGGAGGAGTCGGTGGTGGTGCCGTCTTCTTCGACTCGAGTCGTTCCCGGACTTGCGTCTTCTGGGCCACTCGATTTGAGAGGTCCATTATTTCTTGTCGAATTTTCTCAGTTAGCGAAGCCATGGGAGATTGCACAAGGGACAAATGAATGTGATCAACGATTATAGCTGCATCCTGTGCGATGTCAGGATGCGGGTCAACAGAAAGGATAAGGAGCTGTTTCCAAATAGTGCCAAAAGTAGAATTACGAGACAGTTTTTGTGTCTTGTAGCTCGAAAGCGGGCCATTTGCGGAACCATTCGGTGCATCCTCCGTGGAATGACCTTTAGGTGTCAGTTGCTCAACTTTGGAGAGAAGGCTCTGCTTCTCATCCTGTAGCTCTTCGTATGCGGCAACTAGGAATTTGTTTTGATAGCGTCTCACGAAAGTCGAGAAGAACACCAGAAGTTCTTTTCGAACAAGTACACTACCATCGGATGCCATTGGTAACACGGCCATGGCCAATGATTCTTCGATCTGGGCCACTTGATCTGTGAGATCGGGAATACCCAAAAATGTTGTCACGGCATGCAACATTGCGGCTCGGACCTCCGGAACAGGATCAAAATTGAGCTCGCAGAGTCTTGCAGGTGCCGCGCATCGAATTCCCATCCACTTTGCCTCAGGGAAGTCAGACCAAAGCATGCTAATGCAAAGACATGACCATTGGCGTAGCAAAGGATTTTCAACATCCATCAGATGCCTCAAGCAAGAGTCAAAAAGTTCTGCGGAAAGGCACACATTCTGGCCCTGGGGATAATTCTTGCAAAATATCGACACTATGAAAGCACACATGGCCCGATGTTCACTAGCATTTCCGACGGGTATGGGTGATGACGGGTTGAGAATCGAGATGAAATAGTGAATTCCGTTGTCCTTTAGCAAATCATTCTGGACTGTATGGTCGACCGCCATGATCCTTGCCCATATGAAAACCATAACAGGCTTCAGCTCCTGGGCTGCTGACTGGAGGAGCTTGACGACGTAAGGGAAGATACCTATGCTCAAAGCCAGATGGACGGCCCAGGGTCCCAAATCCAGGAATTTACTGAGTAAGATCAAGGCTCTCAATCGGTGAGCCTGACTCAAAAGGACTTGCAGGACAATAGGTAGCTGATCCGGCGGGTTTTTCTCCGTCGGTCCAGATGACAAGTACACCTCAAAGGCAGTAAGCTGCTCAGCGAAAAAGGTCGAGTGCTGATATTCATATTGTCTACGGCCTTCTTCATGATCAATGAGCGCAGGAAGCTGAGCCAGAACCATTTCAACTGCTAGATCCCAGCTTTTCCACAGAGGATGATGGTGCGTCTCTGGAAGTTCAGGCGACGATATTGGGTGACACTTATATGTGCGCATTATCCGTTCGCTAAGTAGGAAATTTCTAAAGAGGGCCGCTACCATTAAATCTTGACGGAAGAGCTTCTTAAAGAGAGCTCGTGGCAAGGTATTCCACGCGATGGTGTCAGTAATAGCAGTGAAAATCCAGTTTAATTCTCCAAGAGGGCTCCTACGGTCCTGCAAGCGACCCGGGACTCGGAAATCATCAATGGATATGTTACTCTGCAGAGGGTTCTGGAGGATGAAGTATCTCAGGGCGATCTCAATGGGCGTCGTCAAACAACAAGTGAAAAGATCTGCGGGGAGGTCAGGGTTGGTTGGAAGCGACTCGCTCTTCTGGCACGCGGCCAGAATGATGCAATCCCCATAGTTTTGGGTGATCACATTAGGATCCCGCTTCTTTGCTTCGATGTTCTCTTTTTCATGTTTCTCAACAAACGTGTGGAAATTCTGGACAATATTCCCAGCATGCGATACGTCGAAAACGAAAAGGCTGGGGCCTGCAAGCCAGGACTGTAAATCATACAAGGACACCGGGATGTATTGAGTATAATTTTTGTTGAAGACCCATATTTCGCCAGACTGGGTGGGTAAAGGGACACCATGGCCGTTATAATGGAAAAGAACTCGCTCGTCTTTGGCGTTACGACGTAGTGATATGCAAAACTTTTTCGTCTCGTCAACGGATGGGTCGAGATATTGCTTGTACCTAGTTCTTAAGCTAAGTGTTTCATATTGTTCCTGTAGCTTTTTTCCAATCTGCTCCATTATCTTGGTCTGCCCGCCACCAGTAGTGGATGTTGGATCAACCCAACATTCGAGCTTAGCTGTAGGGTTTGTCTTGACCACGTCCGGGGGATCAACCCCAATGTTCAAGCATATGGCCAAGGCAGCAGAAACGGTTTTCAGACGGTCCTTCATACGCCAGTCCTGGCTGGGCCAGCTTCCCACGGGATCTCTCGGCATGCCGTTTGTCTCATGGCGTTTTTCCGTGAAATACATGTAGAAATTCTAGGGTTATCAGAGGATACTCCGTTAAGGCAGCACATCGCTGTTCTGCTTACCGAGTGTAGGATCTTGAGGTATTCGCTCGAAGTGTACTCTTCCTGCCATCCATGGCGCATGGCAAAATCCTCTTCGTCCTCTCCAGCAGCAGACTTGTCAAGCCCCAGTCTTGGTCCATAGTCACTTTTAGCCCGTTTCAAAGTCGACGGCCGTGCCGAATCCGATGCTCGATCAGATATCAACCGAGTGTTATCTTCTATGACAGCTGGGCCTTCCCCTGCCGAACTCGTCGGTCTGTCAGGAGTGGTTACAAGGGGGTGCCTCCGCTCCACGGTAGTAAACGATCTGTGGTGCCCTGGTCCAGGCGCCGGGGACTTATCGCGTGGAGGGATATGCGTTTCCAGGTCCGGACCGAAGGCCACGCGGACGGATTTAGTGGTGTTCTTTCGGGGTTCGGCGTGACCGCTCGCTTCTTGGGGCTCCATAGTGGTTTTCTGTTCCGTGGTTAAATTGGGATCCTTCATTATGCAAATATCATCGTGTTCGAGCAGGGACGTGAAAGCGTGCCAGTTCCTTGGATGGCCAAAGTCTAGAAAGAGCGGAGTTTCAGCAGAAGTTCGTTGACAATTAAGTTGCGGATATGATAAATTATGACCATTCGATGTACCTGATTGTGGGGCAGATGCACATGTGTGCTCTTACCTTATCAACTATCATGCCACGGGGCATGCACAAAGAGCAGCGGGATATCGTCCCTAACCTGTAGCCTTCCGCGGTCAGTAACCCGACGCTTAATGTTGCGAGAGGGTTTGGGATTGGCTCCTCAGCAGAAGGAACGGAGAAAAAAAAGGTATTTCTCCTACTCCTTGATGCCAAAGATAACAAACTCTCTCTCCCAAGCCCACAGCTTCAAAAGTTATAGGTTGTCGATGTCTTTTTTGGTAACAGTGAGGTTCATGAGCTTTAGCCGCAATGTCTTGGCACAGAGCGATCGGAATATCTATAGCGCCGAAAACCGCTCTCTCCGTAGTATTACATCAGGCAGAATTCCTTTAGTTATTACATACAAGTCATTGAGTTATTCAAACATGTAGAAACGTCTTCATCTATTTCATCTTGCCTCGTTGTACGAAGACAGAGCATTCAGCACACTTTTGTGGCTGCCTCTGATAACATCTCTTACTAAACTGCGATGGGAGGATGTATAAACAATAGCAGTCTAACTATACTAAGTAAAACTATATAGACCCTGCAGCACATTTCGAAGAGCAGGTACCACGTGCATGTAATGTCTCCTTCCAAGCCAGTACGAAAATTAAGAGTATTTTTTGGCTTGGCATTATTGACGATCCTGATATGCTACAATACAACACTGGGACTAGGAAATACCACCTGGATTCATCCATGGAAGTCTCCAGCGTGGTACGCTGAGATCACACTGGACCAAGACAAGTAAAGATGGAACAACCTACGAGGTATCATTCAGGAGAATCCCGACCGATGCTTTGATTATCATATACAAACAAACAAACATATCCCTACTAGATTAAACTCTGAATACTCATGCTGTTCAAAGTTCAAACCCTACCGAGATTAAGGTACGGATAAATGCGTTGCCAGGGTCATAGGAGATTATGGTATAAAACAACCAGCAACTTAATCCCACTTAGGGTTTTCTCAAGGCGGGTGTACCTTGGGAGATATACTCCATACGATCAAGTTGTCAACATGAGGGGATTCCTCTGTCGATGCATGGATCACATTCCCAGGATTCCATCCCGCGCTACCCGTGACTCGTGAAAAAGTGACCAGCCAATCCGTACGATGTGGCGGATATTCACTAATACGACGAGTCCATTTTAACGAGGCCATAGATAAAGAACAGAACCTGACACAAAAAAATGTTCATTCCAGTCAGTTGCATTGTACTCCATATGTGGAACCATACATGAAATGGAGCTTCAGGATAACCAGTTAAAAAAACAAAGGGATGGAGTTCCATTGGGATGAGCGATGAAGCGGGTTGGTAATGGGCCAGGCCGCGAGCCAGTAACTTGCGCTTCTCCATCCCTCCTTCGCCAGCTAAGCGAATCTCCAAGGTCCTGATAGGCTCATTGATTTAAACGTTTCCCCTCCACCGAGTTTTAGTGCGGCTTGAGTTTGACCAAGAACTTCTGGATCGAACCTGACCAGCCCCCCTTTTGAGAAGGTTTGTCGGCTCTTTTAGCCCCTGGCTCCGCCCTTTTCTGGCACCGTCCCTGACTTAGTCGTGTATAGGTACTAAGTTTAGGGGCAAGCTAGATCCATTGGTCGCTAGCCAACCGGCCATCACCAGTCTTTTTTTGGCACCATTTACCACCTCTCATCGTTTAGCCGAAAGAAAAAGAAAGCAAGCAAGCAAGCAAAAAATCAATAAAAATTACAAGGGGTAAATGAGAGAAGTTGAGCTGGGATCAGCCTCATGTGTCGACACTTGATCGATGTAGAAGGAGACTTGAGCGAGCAACTTGTTGCTCAAACATAGTAGATGATGGCTGGAAAATCGGTCCGCATGACAAAGATTCGACAACGATGGTGCGTGGAGATGTTGATGATGTTTCGTTCCTGCATCGATCATACATACTGTTACCTGTAAGGTACACGACCTCAACCAATGGTAAATCTACATCAATCAAAATGGGAATAAACAGAGAACATCGTAATTATACGACCTCAACCTGGAAACCGCGGGACTTCTATATTGGCTACCTCGGAAGGATGCATTTACCGATTAGTTGTATTGTCAACAGAGTGGGATAGAGCCACTGGGTATCATGATCATCATGGGCTGGATAAGAGGAAAAGACAAATATGCAGCTACGAGTATAACAAAGAAGATCAAAATAAAAAATAAAGTAAACAGTACGAGAGAAGAAAATAGGAAGAAAAGGCAGAGTACGGGGACCACTCTGATAGTGCTAAGGCTATTCTTGCTAGTCTGGCACATGTTCATTAGGATTTTGTAGCTAGTATTGTGGGTTTGACCTGAATTAAAATCAGTTCAAAACATCATACTGCGGCAGTTACGTGGATAGAATACGCCCGAGTCGTGACCCCATATGGAGTATATGGATAGTACCAGCAATAGACTGTTATGGAGATTGAACTCCAGAAGCTCATTGAAAATCTTTAGTAGTAGTAGAGCCAAGTTCCTCCTCCCTGTAAGAAAATTATGCATGATAATGTGACCAACCTACCGTTGAATTAGCAGCTAGTCTAATTATGTATCAGATTCTCTGCTGACCACCCTTTAACTGTACAACTGTAACAAACAGTATTACCTTACCCCAAAGGCGGTGACCCCTAACTAGGAACTGGAAGTAATGTCACTGTTTGGATCAACAACATTTCTTAAAAGAAATTCAAAATAATTATCTAATTAACGCTGGTTAGGGAACTTTGAAACGCCGGGGCCTCGCATTATTCCTGTCTCTCACTCTCCCTCTTTCTTCTTCTCCAATATCCATGTCCCAGGGCCCGTTTTCCTCCCATACTCGCCTCTTTATTTTTCTCTTGTCTTCTTTCTCCTTTTCTTTCCCTTCTTGAGGGCTTTTCGTTTTTTTCCACTTGTCCCGCCCTTGTTTACCTTGTCTCCTGTATAAGTCGCTCATGCTCCCCCGGAGTCGCAATCGAAGGTTCGCTTTGGGAATAGAAGGAACATTGTCGCCATTTACTTCAAGACGCTGAGCGACTTCTGAGGGTTTTCCGTGGCTTGGATGGGACTGTTCCATTGTTCCTCTTAACGCTCTGACCACCGCCGAGAACATTTGGAAGGCACGTATCCAGACCTGATCGAATTCCGGCTGGGTTCCGTCGTTCGCTGTCTTTAGACCTTCTACAGCCTGGTGCCCTCGTTGTTTTCCTGGTCTTTTTGTTTTTTCCTGCTGATTGTTTTTGGCCTGTTTAATTTGATTCTGCCATTGTATTACTGAGAATTGTTCGACTCGTGACAAAGCGGCCTTACTTGGCTTTCAGCGCTGCCTTTCCCAGTGCCGTTAATCTACAACCCTGTACTCTGAACGACCGTTTACGATTCAATTGTCACGATGGCATTCTTGTTCAAATCGAAAAAGAATCAACAAAATACTGCCCTTCCTCCAGCAAACAGAAGCCTCCACACCTCCGAAGGAGCGTCAACACATGCACCGGCGGCGCCCAATGGAATAAAAGAGCGGGAGGGAAGCAATTCGCAGACGCCGACCCCCAGCAGCAGCTACAATAATTCTCTGAATTCGGTGAGCAGTATCAACAGCCCGGAACAGCAGCGGTTGCGACAAAGAGCCGAATCCGAGTCGCAGGTTGGTACTCCCCGGCTCCCTTGACCTCTTGTTAATGCCTTTCGCTGGTCGCAAGACAATGCCTCTCGACCCCATGCAGCATGGCTAATCAAATCTAGGTCCAACGGCCGCCGCAACAATCGATGAACAGCAATACTCCCAATACGAGCCCCGGCGCTTCATTGTACCCATGGTCACAGCGTCGCTTAAATTTCGACACGCCGCAGACGAATCCATTTCCCCGCTATGGCGCAGCTATAAATGCTGTTGCTTCGAACAAAGGAGATATATATATGATGGGTGGTTTGATAGACGGATCAACTGTCAAAGGAGATCTCTGGGTGATTGAAAGTGGCGGGGGAGATCTCTCATGCTTCCCAATTGCCACTGTGTCGGAGGGGCCCGGTCCCAGAGTCGGTCATGCGAGTTTACTGGTCGGTAATGCTTTCATTGTATTTGGCGGTGATACAAAAGTGGACGAGGCCGATACTCTGGACGACACACTTTATTTACTGAACACCTGTACGTGCTGACGTTATGACCCATGCTGGAAGAATTGTGCCCTAACATCTTATATTTCAGCCTCGCGGCAGTGGTCGCGCGCCATACCTCCTGGGCCCCGGCCCGCTGGGCGTTATGGACACACCTTGAACATCCTGGGCTCCAAGATTTACGTCTTTGGTGGACAGGTTGAAGGTTACTTTTTCAACGACCTGGTCGCATTTGACCTTAACCAACTGCAAAATCCAGCGAATAAGTGGGAGTTTTTAATCCGAAGCAGTCACGATGGTGGTCCACCTCCGGGCCAGATACCCCCGGCCAGAACGAACCATACAATTGTAAGCTTCAATGACCGGTTGTATCTGTAAGTCTTGCATTTGAACTTTCCCTTGCCTGATAACGTATATTTTACTCACTCTCATCCAGGTTCGGAGGAACGAACGGCTTGCAGTGGTTTAACGACGTTTGGAGCTATGATCCTCGCGCTAACCAATGGACTCAACTCGATTGCGTTGGGTTTATCCCTACGCCGCGAGAAGGGCATGCAGCAGCTCTTGTAAACGATGTCATGTACATATTTGGCGGCCGCACAGATGAGGGAATCGACCTTGGGGATCTGGCAGCTTTTCGTATCACGACCCGACGGTGGTATTCTTTTCAGAACATGGGACCTGCCCCATCACCAAGGTCTGGGCACAGTATGACGGCTTACGGAAAGCAGATCATCGTGATGGCGGGTGAGCCAAGCTCTGCACCAAGGGACCCCGTGGAACTCAGTATGGTATACGTCCTCGACACATCGAAGATTCGCTATCCGACCGAGTCGCCAAACGGAGATAGAGCACCCCCACCTGGTATGAGAAAAGGCAGTACAGACAGGCAAAATCCTCAGGGGGGCCGCACATCTCGCGAGGCGCAGAATCAACTTCCAGATCCACGGCGACCAGGTGCCTCGCGGGAAAGCATGATGAGTCCAACCGGCAGACCAGCAGACGTTGGTCCTAACTCAGGGCCCGGGTCCCGACTCCCGAGGGCCTCTATAGCTCAGGCTCCTGCAGGACCTCCTCCCCCAGGTCAAGCTCCCACCCCTGGCCCTCGAGGGAGCACCCCCCAAAACGTTATGAACCCACGAAGCAAAACCCCCACAAAACTGGATCGGTCGTATGGCGGTCCACCGGTGGATACCACTCGAGCGATGGCAGCTGATCGGGATAGGGAGTCTCCAATTGCCAAAGAATCCCCCAAGGAGGCTAGACCTGTTCACGATTCTGGATCTGGATCAGGAGATCGTCGCACACCTACTCAGCAATCACGGATGTCTGCCCGAGCTATGGAGGCTGGCGAGGCAGCCCCCCTTATTAGTGCACCGGCCAGGCAACGGTCGCTGCGTCACCACCGACAGCGCAGCTCTATGGATAGTGCCGATGAATCTGTTTTGGGTCGAAATGCCAGCATTGATGGCTCGGTAGACTCTCGAGGTTATCGGGGTTCAAAGACCATAGGTGATGAACCCCGGTCACCAAGATTGACTGCACATCAAGAAGCACTTATTAAGGAGCTCGAGGCTGTGAAAAGCCGTAATGCATGGTATGCGTCCGAACTTGCATTGGCCAAGAAGGCTGGTTACACGCCGAATGCTTCAAGTAGCCCAACTTTAGACGAGCGTGCGGGCGATGCGTTCGCTGACGAGGACCGCCCCTTAATTGAAGCATTTCTGGCAATGAGGGCGGAACTTGCAAAGATGCAAGCAACTGTAGATCGACAAGCTGCTATAGCTTCCAAGCGGGTCGCTGAGGTTGAGCACCAAAGAGATGTGGCTGTCAATGAAGCGGCTTATGCTCGTGCTAAGCTTGCTGCTCATGGTGGTAGTCAAAGAGGAACTCCGCAACCTGATGGGCGCTCCCAGGATCCTGAAGAAGTGATGACGGAGAGAAGCACTGACATCAGCAGAAGATTGGCTTTAGCCCTTGCATCTCAGAATGAACTAAAGTCAAAACTTGATACGGTTACAAGTGAACTCGAACAAGAAAAGCGGGGTAGAGAGCTAGCTGAAGAGACATGTGAAGCTACCAGGAGACGTCTAGCTGAACTTGAGATGCAAAACAATGCTTTAGAGGTCGAAAGCCTCCGTGCAGAATTACATCAGCTGGAAGCCTCCATGAGGGAAGAGGCTTTGCTACGAGCTGAAGCAGAATCCGCAACAAAACAGCTGACCTTGGACAAGGAAGAGCTAATGAAAAAGGTTGAGGACTCTTCAATTCACCTCAAAGACTTTGGTACTAATCTGGGCGTGCTCCGAGAGGCTGTTTCTGCGTCTTCTGGAAAAGCAGCCCTTCTCGAGAAACAATTGGAAGAGGAGCGTGAACGTCGGGAGGGGTTGGAGAAAAAATTGTTGCAGCTCAGATCCGAGCACGAGGAACAGAATGCCGAGCTTGAGAATATTGTCCGTCGTCTTCACGACGCCGAAGAACTCGCCGAAAGCAATGCCAGGGAAGCTGAGACACATAAGAATGCGTTCTTGACAGGACTTGACCGCGCAAGATCCTTTGATTCCGATTCTTCCATACGGTCGCTCGCAGACCAGCGGGTAGCTGCCCTGGAGGCACAGGTGGAAAGGGCAAATAAGCTGGCGAAAACTAGCCAGACAGCTGCAGATGAGGCAGCAGACAAGCTCCGCCGTGCAGAAGAGAGGATTGCAGGCTTAGAAGCATACCAGGAACAGGCCAGTCGGGAAGGTTTGCAGCTTCGAAGGCAGCTCCAAGCAGCTATGAAAGAAGGCCAGTCTCATGCCACTGAGAACAGGGAGCTGAAGGCCCAGTTTGAAAACCATCAACGCGAGTCTGGCGCCTTAGCCATCCAACACGCAGCTCTCAAAGACCTCCTTGGTGAGCGTGGAGTCAATTATTCTGATAGCAGGCGTTCTCCTCGACTGGATTCCCCTGGGTCTCGGTTTGGAACACCTGAGCAGAGTCGACTTCGTGAGCTAGAGCAGCAACTCTCGACCAGTCTTAAGGCCCATGAAGAAATGAAGGCGTCATTCGAGACTCGCGAGCAAGAAGCTGACCGTGCATATAAGGAGAAGCTAGAACAACTTGAAAATGATTACCAGTCAGCAGTTCATTATGTTAAGGGAACTGAAAAGATGTTGAAGCGGATGAAGGATGAACTTACTCGTTATAAGTCCCAGAATGCAAAGATACAATCAGAATTGGAAGCAGCCCAGAGTGACAAAGCACAACCTTCTGACCGATCGCCGATGCAGGCCGAGTGGGAGACTGAACGTGCACAACTTCAGAAGTCTCTTGCCGACCTACAGCAAGACACTTCGTCCTCTATCGCAAAACTCGAAAGCGAGCTCGCCAAACTGAAGAAGGATCTCTCTGCCGCCGAGGCTGATAAGGAAAACGCTCGATCAGAATATGAAAGTTCCCATCAAGAACTGATGGCTTCTGCGGAAAAGAGCCGTGCCGAACTGGATCAGCTTAAACACGAAAATGCTCTTCTCGAGAGTCGCGCCTCGGATGCTGAACAGAAGGTCAATATGCTTTTGGATCAAGTCGAAGCGTCGGTTGGGCATTACCGTCGACAGTCCCAGCATGGCCAAAACATGAACGGCATCTCGCGGACCTATAGCAACGCCTCGAGCAACACCATCAGCAGATCAAGAGCCAACAGTGCTGTGTCACAGGAGGATCCATTCCCTGACAATCGTGGCTCCATGGCTTTGGACTCCCTGGCCAATGAACTGGAGACCTTGCGTAGCCACTGGGAGAGTACCAACCGCAATTATCGGTTAAGCACTCAGTCTGACTTCGACCGGACTCCCACCAAAGAGACAGGGCTAAGTGACAGCCTTGCGGAATGGAGGCGGCGCTTGGATGAGGATGACACCAGAGCAAGTTCTCCTGAGAAAAGTAAACCCCGTAACACAGAAGGGGGGGCTACAACAACAAACATGATTTAAGAAACTCGGCAGTATGCGGATGGCTTGTCTATACTCTATTGGAAAACCTGCTGCGAGGCCTGAGGCTTGCCAGGGCCACCCTGTGTCTTCAGTATCGCGTCCTCGAAGCGCCCTGGCGCTGTGTATGGTTTGATGGATCGTTGACTTGTCATCTCGGCATATGTTATGTGTGTTTTATAATGGTTTGTTACTCTGACTATCAGCTGGCTATTTTAGTCAGTCCGCGATGAAGTCAGGGAATTATGATTCATTTCCCATGTTGTTCATGTTCCTTCTTTCCCTCTCCTATGTTTGTTCCTTTTGTCTTCTTTTTGTTCTTTATTCTCCTTCGACTTCTTTTTTATACCCCTTCACATTTTGATACAGCCTTGGAATGTACTATTACTTAACTTTTCACTTCACGAAGTCTCTGTCTGAACTAAATCAATTATTTGCTTTTCACAAACCACCGGTTTATTCACTGAGTCAGTCTCAGCCTCATGGGTGGGTGAAGACTAGATAAGTAAAGTCAGTGAGATGAATTTATCAAGTAGGATCAGCTCGGAGATTCTCATCTGATTAATACAAGTATCGCCCCGGCTCCCAGGAGGTCCAAATTGTACACAAACTCGGTGGGATGCCATAACTCGATCATCGTCGCAGCTGGCCCAGTGGTAAATGGACTTCAAGTTGTTGAGGGAGGGCGATTTTGTCATGGTTTTTGATCCCTTTCCTGTATGCGGGGTATGGGGTAAATCCAGGCCAAATACTGGATATCGATGCTCTGGGATGACTTAGTGTGATCATATTTATCGGAGCATGAACAATAATATATATAGTAGGAGATAGTTATGTCATGATGTGGATGAATAAAAACAGTAATGAGGCGCTCTAAGCCTGACTGGATGATTTGGCGAGGTCATCCGTGTACTAGGTGGTCGTAGCACATAGTTGTCCATCAGAACTGGGATGAGGCACATCATACCACTGCGGACAGGACAATTCTGATCGTCCGTCACCCGATGTATATAATTACCGATCACTGTGGCATCGGTGTCAGAGATCTTGAGCTAGCAGCGGTTTCTGCCCAAAATCGGGCCCCTGTAATCGTCCGTAATTACCTGACAGAGTCCGGAGTATGTCGGCGGATCCATACTGGTTTTGCCCAGACTCAGATGACCCCAGATCAATCAATGGACAATTGGATGGATCCATCCTGGTAAATGCCTCAGGCCCCATGTGAGGCAGTCAATCAGTGTCGACTCTGGTACAACAGGATTGAAATATAATGATCCAATTGATTAAATAAGGCCCCTCGGCCAAATGTTTGATTGCTGGTATAATCGTTAATCGGCGGCGACTTGAAATTCAATCCACATACAAACGTCCATGTGGCCATGGGAATGTGCACCGACTTTTTTGCCACGAGATATTGTAACGATGTTTTTTTTTATATTTTTTCAGTATCCTTGAACTTTCCTTTTCTTTTTTTTTTTTTTTTTTTTTTTGTTTTTTTTTTTTTTTTTTTTTTTTTTTTTTTTTTTGGGGCCAAGTCTTCCCAGCTGTTACACCACTGAAGGCACCCACCGACGTAGTATACAAGCATTGGTAGACTATGTTAAATGAATGTCTCGTACTGTATTTACCTGACCTATATGTACTGGATTATGGAAATGGTCCTGAGCACCGTCTTTTGATCAGTAAGGTAAGCATCTGACGTGATTGGTGTTTACCCTAAAGTGGAATAGCCTCTTGTCGCTCTTAAAGAAGCTGATCAAATACTCCGTACGCTAAGCAGATAGAAAAGATAATAAATGGAAGGGAAATTGGGGTACCTAACCGTTACTTTAGTAGTAGGAAACATAGTATCGTATGTATATACTCCGTACGTCCAGAAAGAGTTACAGATGAGAAGCTCTAAGATATGAGACAATTTTTTTCCCTCTTCTCGTTTCTTTTTTGCCTTTCCAAGAAAACAAACGTTAAATAAATTACTACTTACGCCCTCTTAGTGACAAGTTTCTTCACCGACTTACTGAGCATCTGTTCTAAGATGGATTAATTTTTTTTTTTTTTTTAAAAAAAAAAAAAAAATTAATTAAAAATAGAAAATACGTGTTTTTCTTTTAATTAAATTTTCTAATTGCAATAATTTTTTCTACCCTATGGTGTGCTTTGCCCGACTAGAGTTGGTCACTGCCTGATACTTTTCATACAAAATTACCAAAAATACCCAGGTCGTAATTGAAATATATCTGCTGTGACAAGCTGCGACCGCCAACCACAGCCAAACTGATCACCGGCCTTTACCCGCCCCCTCTCAATCTTACTCTCTTTCTCTTCTTCTCCTTCTCTCTCTTCTTTCCCTTCTTTCCTTCCATCCCACCTTTCGATATCAAGGCGTTGTCCTTGATTTATTGCCATTTGTTTCCACTCTTCTATCCCTCCCCCCCTTTTCCTCTTTTTGTTGGTTTTTCACACGCCCGTATTACTTGTCAGCCTCTTTCAAAGGCCTGTCAAGTCATCACCTCATCTCCTTTTTCCCTCTCCGCCTTTTTGCCTTCCCGGTCGGTCGGAGCCCCAACGGTCGACATCACCGCTATCCCACCTCTTTCTACAAGGTTTGTTAGACTCGCGCTCTTCTTGGTCCGGCATTATCGTTACACATCTGTTCTGTTTCTTGTGTTCCTCGAGTGTTTCACTACCAGACATTCCCTGCTGCCAGCTGGTGCTAGCCTCGGTGGGCAAAATTCACTGTGTCAAGTAACTACGCGCCGAAGGCGGCCTGCTTCATTGTGACCCTCTTCCCCTCTTATTCCAGCCTCATTCTGTGTCCATCCTGCAGCTGTTCTTGTTGAAATACGTCCTTGATCACTTTTAAATCTTGCCCATCCAACAACCTTGACCCGGTGACTAACAACCTGACCTGCAGTCTTTGTGATCTTACAGCCGCAGCCGTCAGCTGTGTGTGCGTTTACTAAAGATGACGACCATGGTACGTAGTCTGTTGCTACTACCTTTTCTCCGGACGGCTATAGTCTAATAAAAGCTCCTAGGATTTGCGTGTCGGTAACAAATACCGCATTGGCCGCAAGATCGGAAGCGGTAGCTTCGGTGACATCTATCTAGGTGCGTGTTTATCCCCTTGGAATGGCACCGATCGGGCTGGTCAACATTGACTGACAGAACCCAAGGAACTAACATTATCTCCGGCGAGGAGATTGCCATCAAGCTCGAGAGTGTCAAGGCTAAGCACCCCCAACTTGAGTATGAGGCTCGTGTTTACAAGTCTCTTGCTGGTGGTGTTGGCATCCCCTTCGTCCGTTGGTTCGGTACTGAATGCGACTATAATGCTATGGTTATCGACCTTTTGGGTCCTAGTTTGGAGGACCTTTTCAACTTCTGCAACCGCAAGTTCTCGCTCAAAACCGTACTTCTCCTGGCTGATCAACTCATCTCCCGCATCGAGTATATTCATGCCAAGTCTTTCATTCACCGTGACATTAAGCCCGACAACTTCCTGATGGGCATTGGTAAGCGTGGAAACCAAGTCAATGTGATCGATTTCGGTTTGGCCAAGAAGTATCGGGACCCTAAGACACACTTTCACATCCCTTACCGCGAGAACAAGAACCTTACCGGAACTGCCCGTTACGCCAGTATCAACACTCACTTGGGCGTTGAACAGTCTCGCCGTGATGACATGGAGTCTCTGGGATATGTCATGCTCTACTTCTGCCGGGGCACGCTCCCTTGGCAGGGACTTAAGGCTGCCACGAAGAAGCAGAAGTATGACCGCATCATGGAGAAGAAGATGACCACGCCCACTGAGGTCCTTTGCCGTGGATTCCCCAACGAATTCTCGATCTACTTGAACTACACCCGCTCCCTGCGTTTCGATGACAAGCCCGATTACTCGTACCTCCGCAAGATCTTCCGTGACCTTTTCGTCCGCGAGTCTTTCCAGTACGACTACGTTTTCGACTGGACCGTCTACAAGTACCAGAAGAATGCCGCGATGATTGTGGATGCCAGCAACAAGAAGGATAAGGAAGCGGAGGAACAGCAGCGCCGCCAAGGCGTGGCAGCTGCTGCACCGATGGGCACCCCTGGTGCTGCTGCTAAGCCTGGTGCTATCTCAAGCCAGCGCCGCAAGGTCATCGAACGTGGAACTCTCGACAACACCCCCGACACCAACCGTGCTGTGGGAGGGAGTGACAGGATGTGAGTATCTGAAACCTAGGTTCCGTGTAGGGAACCCCTTTCCTCTGCGTTTGGTGATTTGCCTTGACCCCGCACGTAGAGGTCGCCTTGAATCCTAGAATCTGACTAATCTCATAGTCTTCGGCGTTAGGCTGCGTTCTGCTTCCAAGGTTGCTGCTTCAGGTGCTTATGGCCCTACCGGTAGCCGCTCGAAGCGGGACGATGGATACGGTGCTCAGTGGTACTAATTCTCCAACATGGCAGGTAGCTCAGCTGTTCTCTCTCGATGATAGTTTGACTTCCTGCATGTTGACATCCCATTATGTGAAGAACTCAAGAGCATCGTGATGCTGGTAACCTTCTGCCACCTGCAGCAAATCTTCCGACTTCTTTCGCCTTGGGTCTCCATTTTTTCCTTTTTTATTTTACTTCATTGCATTCTCTGTTAGCCCGTCATCCCGTTTCCGATCGTCTTCCGGTTTCCGCCGTTTCGATCCGCCGCGTTTTCCCCCCGATCTGCCTACTGGTTTATCTGGACTTCCCAGTTGTGCCTGAGACCCCGTACTCGAATACTTGAATGCGTTCTCAGAATCATAACATTCGATTTGCACATGGGAAGTACTTGGTAGAAAGAAACAAAACGCTATTACTGTGGCTATTTTACGTCATCCCTACCCGGTTGTCATGTTTGTCCAGGATCTCTACGCCATCTTTTGGAACCGACCGGGAGGGTTAGACCGAAGGAGATGCAAAATGAAAATCTTCTGTCTTTCGGCAGAATGAGGGGTATCTTTCAGTTGATGCCTGCCACTGAAGACCCTTGGATATATCATTCATTGTTTTGTTTTATTCTCCCTCCCCTTGTTCTGCAATTGTCTTTTGATCTCCTGTTTTACACATTTCAGCATTCCAGACTGTTATTATGTTATTATCGACGCAACATTGGGGACGATGAGTATGAAGGTATGATACGAAGATGTGTGGGAGGCGGTTATTCTTGATGTCCAAGGGTCAAGGTTCACATGCCGTACGAGAACTGGATGGCACGGGTGATGGTACTGCGCACGATGAAATGGACAAAAAGAAAGCACGTCTCTATAATCGGTAACTGGCGACGGAAAATGGCTAGGGTCGCTTCCGGGGTGGTATTGCGTCATGCGAGGTTGTTTTCCTTCGTGGTATTTCATGTTTTCTGTTGCTCTCGCTCCTCTCTTGTTATGTGAAGAAGACTGGACAACATTCGAAGGTGACCGGGCTGAAAGGGGACGTTTGGACAACTGAAACCAAATGGCGTCTGTTGTCCTGAAGGAACAGCGGTTAGGATTTCTTCGAGTGAACCTGTCTTGTATTCGACATATAATCCACGTTATTTGCTGCTCTTGACTAATCCTTCTCCGTAACCAACTGTCTCGAGTGAGAGATTCTTTCACCTTGTAGCTTTTAGATCTTGGCTTCGTTTCGACCGACCGACGTTGGTAGGAAAATGAGATCTACTGCAGTAGTATAGTATCAAGTATATACTTACTAGTTTTATGGTAGGGTTTAAAGCACCAACGTTGGACCCTTACAGTAGTCGGTAAGGTGTCAACTAGATTACTATTTATATCTGGGTACCTCAGACATGATCGGAGATTGGCGGCTAGACTTAGACCTGACAAAACAGCGACCAGGGTCAGCTTTTTGGCTTGAAGATGTCAATGGAATGTGGCCGGATTGAGACCAGCCTAATCGGTAGAGAATTAATTGTAAGAGTTCGACTGAGGTAGAAAGTTGTACATAAATTACTACCAGATACAGGACAACAAAAGAGAATACGTCATGTAATACGAGACTGTAAAATACACGGACAAATTGTAGGCCAATGCCCACCCCCGGTTTTTTTAGGCCCGACCTTATTTTGCGATCGCGCCTTCTGCTCCTCTTCAAACCCCCTAACCTATTGTATGCTTATCAAATCGCTGAAGAACCGAAGAGATGGAGTACCCATACTATCCCAATTCCCACTCCCAACCGTTCTCTTTATACAACTTGCAAGGGGCGCCGACCCTCGGTCAGAACGACGATGACAACCATCGAAACCCACAGACCGATAACATCCAGGATACTCTCGCTTCGTTGGTCTGCATTCCTTCTGTTGACCGGCTAGTGCCGAGTCCTGTTTCACTGACCATGGCAAGGGCATACAGAGTTATCAGTCCTTCGACCCTTCGTTTCGCTTCCAGAACCCCACTGCAACGTTCGGACAACCGCCAAACTCTCCGCCCGAGTCATTCTCGAAGCATTCTGCCTCTGGCAGTGATATCTTCGGCCAGCCGACCGAGCTGACTTTGGTAGATGGAGAGCCGGGTTTTGGTCGGAGTAGTAGCGAGGAAAAGGAATCTATGACTCCTGCGCAATCTAAGCGCAAGGCACAGAACAGAGCAGCGTAGGTTCAACTCCCTTTTTTTACGGAGGTTTGCCTCTTTCTTGCGACAAACCTCCCAGAGAGGGGTAACCGGCCCGGCTAACGTTCTTCTCCCGCTGCGGCAGTCAACGCGCGTTCCGCGAACGAAAGGAGCGACACGTGCGAGAGTTAGAGGAAAAGGTTAACAACCTGGAACAAGCATCATCCAATTTGGTGGCGGATAACGAACGCTTGAAGCGGGAGTTAGCCCGGTTTACAACGGAGAATGAGATCCTGCGGGCAACGTCGGGCTCAAGCGACCGAACACAGCACAACTCAGACGAGCCAACTACGACAGGGCCGCTGAGATACACTCCCACGGATTTTTACTCCGAGCTGGCACCAAAGGGCGAACCAGCTCGTCTCCATCGAGTGTCAGTCTGCCCGAAAACCGGGGAAAGGCTGCTCGGTGCCGGTGCTACGTGGGACCTAATCCAAGGGCATGAGCTATTCAAGCGCGGTTTAGTAGATATTAAAGATGTCTCGGAACGATTGAAGAACATAACCCAGTGTGATGGACAGGGCCCTTCTTTCCCCGAGGCTGCGGTGCTCCATGCAATTGAAGAAAGTGCGGCTGCTCATAATGATGACCTTCTTTGAGTTTTGAAGTCTACAAAGTGACGCTTGCTCTTTTGAACTCGGGTACGCTGCGTTTATGGCGCTTGTTGGTTGGCGTATCTGGTTTACGATTCTAATGATTGTTATATGGTTTCCTGCTGGAACTTGGGGAATTTTTATAAATAAAATGCGAGGGACTTAAAAATGTAATTGATGCTGAACTGACCGCTACTGGGGCCGTTTACGGCCGCAATTCCCACCTATACGCGGCCCTCAAGAACCAGACATCCCTCAAATCCCCCCCCTCCTCTACCCACCTGCGCCTCGAACCCACCCTTCCATTTTTTGCAACACAATCAGAGAGCAAAGGGAGCCTGAGTGAAGGATTCGTCTTTTGCCAACACATACAACGGTTGAGTGCCAGTGGAAGGTATGTAATTGTATAAATACCTCATAGGAAACGCACCGCCGTGACCTCTATGACCACCTACCCGCTAACTGAAACCCAGTTTTCCCTTCTATTGAGCTTCAAATACCCGTCATGTCCTACAGCCCTGATCCACCTGCCTGTAAAGGATGTGGTATCATGGGAGCCCATCGTACCCTCAGATGTCCTCAACGCCCGTGTTCATACTGTCGCGAATATGGGCATATCATTGATGACTGCCCATCCTGTCCTGTATGTGATTTATGTCATCGCAAGGGCCATGAACATTCATGTATCCGGAGAAAAGTGTTTCATTATGAAATACCAGGAACTGCACTACGGAAGCGTGGAAGCTCAGGATCCAGTCAACAACCCTGTAAACAACAAACGATTTCATTTACGTCTCGACACATTTTGCCAGTCCCTCAATCACAAGCCACTGGAGCGAATGGGGCTAATCCAGTAAGTGTACCAACGTATTCTGTTATATGCAACGCTAAAAGCGGTCCAGGAGTCCTATCTTATCACTCCAGAAATCACATTTCCAACTCTCCGTCAAACGATCAGCACAATCATCGACTACCTAGTAAAGCAAGCTGATGTTAATTTGAGGCATATTCCATACAAGCATGTTATCGGTACAGTAGGCACAGAAGAGCTTGTCGATGTACTTCTCAATGGTATTTGTCCAGAGATTACGAATTTGGAAGGTCAAATTATAATAACTGAGAGGTAAGTATTGAGCTCCAGTATGGACTCATCTTGCAAGTAGCTCTGACGGTCCGGATCAGGCTGCTTGCCATTCATAAGAAGCAGCTCCGAGATGCAATAGACCTCTGGCGACGAAACAGTGGTTATCTGGACTTTGTCCTAGATGATCGCAACAGAGACTACTGGCGGGCTTATGTAGGACAGTCCAGCAACCCTATCCAACGAATATGTCAGCATATAAGATGCATTCGTGATTGCAACCGCGAGAGCTTGCATTACTATATTATATGGAGGGGGTCTCCATTCAGATCAGCTAATTTCGTCCGGTTGTGGTCAATACCACATATTGCTATGGACCTACCAGAGCTGCAGCTGATTTGCCAGAATATTCTTGAATTAGCAATGTGTCGTGCTTTTCAATCTCTTCCTCCATCAACCTTAGCTGAAATTTTTGGAGAGGATGCGGACAACCCGTACACATGTGTGGGACTTAACATCGTTTCACCTTTGTTTCAGGGATTGAGTCTACGAAAGGAGGCATGCGAGCATTTTGCCAGGCAGATAGAAAGCTCCCCAGACCCCGAGATCCGGCTGTGGCCGAATTATAGGTCAATGGAGAGGGCTAAAGGAGAGAAGGCAAAAAAAGCAGACAGTGCCCCTGCAAAAGCACCAAAGCCAATGATGATACTAGAAGATTTCCGCACCGCCATTTTGTCCGCCATTGCAGGAAGACCCGATCTTGTACATCTTCAATTACCAGATTTCCATAGAGAAGCCGACCGAAAGGATCGTCTCGTAGAGCATATTGATTTAGCCCAGAAAAAAGGACTCGCGGCGGTCGAGATCTGGAAACGGACTACGGCTGATGAAGTCCCCAAGCTGATGACTCCTGTTGGAAGCATTCATGCCTATATTGGCATAGTGCTGGACCATGTTCTTCCGGGAGATAAGAAAGAGGAGTCGCTCTTTAGTCTACTACCCTGGGGCATCAAGGAGAGTGGCTTTAACCTTACAAATTCCTTGATCTGGATCCATAATTTCCGCTATTATGAGGCTACTTCTCTGTTTCGGCAAAGGATATTGCCTATCCGTGCAGAAGAATTTGAAATCCTTCGCGACTTTAATCGCGACCTAATACAACAAAGCCAGCTAAAGGTGATAATTCTATGCGGATCTTTTGACCCGCACATTCTAGTCCCTAAGGATGCTCCCAGCATTACTGTTGATTTCGAAGGTTTCAATTTCAATATTTTCCTTGAGGTCAATGCTCAAAGTATCACCCGAATCTATGCACAGTCGCCTACCTCTGTACAGATGCTCCTAGAGAATAAGTGGCGAAATGCTAGACAGATCGGCCTTCTCTTTAAGTTCGCGGCACTTATTACAGGGACGCCAGGGATCTGGGCAGGTTTTCAGAGCACAGCAATCACGACTACGGAGATAGTCAGACTATACTCGGACGAAAGACTAATCAGTTCTGAAACCAAGTCGGCTACTACTATAGATACCCTGAGCTCCAGTATCCGGTTCTGGCTCTACACAAAGGGGTTTAAGAGGGATGAAGATATTACTCGCCTCCAAGAAGGAGGATCCAGCTTAGCTGAAGCTCTCCTGATTCTAATGACACTTCTTCCATACCGACCGGCACATGTAACGGGCAGTTCCCAGAAGAAAACAATCATTCCGAGCCTTATCAAAACAAGAGGCGTGTTTGAAAGAAACAAGCTTGAGCATGTCAAGAGTTTACTTGTGGAGCTCAACGCAAATTGGTTCCCAGACAGGACATACTCAAAAACACGACTTTCTACACTCGAAAATGAAATAAAAACCGACGATATGAATGCATATTTTGAAGTGCCTGAGGAGCACTTTAGTGAAGTAGAGAACACTCTCATTCAGGTCTCGTCCGAAGGTCCACCAGAGGACTCTGCCTTTGTGGCCGCCAAAGAAGTCAGGGTTAGGCAAATACTAGGTGTAGAGATGCAGCTTGCTGAGGACCCGGATTCCATCCTTGAGATGGCCGAAGAACAACTCAACGAGATAAAGTATCCTCCGTTGCAAGGTCCAATACAATCACGTATGCCTGGTGGCTCTAGTACACGAGATATCGTATTTGAACCGGTATTCAAAACACGAATGCAATTGCTGCATGGCGGTCGCTATTATAACGGATGCAGAAGGCAAAACTTGAGAGTCGATATATACCTGCCGGTGAACATTATAGCTACTATCAATGTTGACAAATATCCAGAGCAACGTGTCCTGGTTCGAGCAGAGCTCAAACAACCCGGTGAAAGGCATCCCAATTGCTGGGCTCGAAAGGTTTTAGATAGTGATGCAGGCGCTCGTCTCGCAATTACCGTTACCAGGGAAGAAGGCAACCGATTCATCACTGTTTATGCAACCAACAATGGTTCCTGGGCTCCATACAAAGCCAACACATTTGTAGATTGGCTAAACGGCATTGGTTACGTACAGATCAGCCGGACACCGAGAAGATACCTGCATTTTCAACCACAGTTACGAGAAGGTTTACCTGAGGAGCTGAGGTACTTTGTGAATGGGGGATACACTGATGCTAATGGTGTTAGATTTAAGAATGAGTTTGAGAAGGGGAGCAGCAGAATCTAAATATGGTCGTATGTCTTACTCTAAGAGCGGTACTCTACATACAGTTGGAAATTCAAACACGAGTTACATGACAAGACACCTACATAGTTATCTGACACTATGGATTGATTCTCAAAAAGGCCGCTAGATCCAGGTTATAGACCTAAATAACTACCCAAACCACGAATATCAGATGATTTATCTTTACCAATAGCATTGCTTCCAACGAATGGCAAGGTGGTCGAGTGGTTAAGACGTAAGACTGTATGTAGCCTTTATTCAGCACTGAATCCCCACAGTTTACTAATAATCAACTAGTGAATTCCACACATGGATGATATCTTATCCCTTCGGGGTCGCGCGTTCAAATCGCGTCCTTGTCGACATTTTTTTCTTTTATTTGTTTCACACCCACAAAGAACAGCTACCACCTACCAGGTGTTAACTTGATCTAAAATTTTATTTAAATCAATACAATATCGCCTCGCCCAGTCAATCGCCAAATAAATCTTGTCCATATGGGCATACCTTTCATCTTTCCTCAAAGCCGCAAAATCCTTCATCCGAGGCAAGGTGGTCGAGTGGTTAAGACGTAAGACTGTATGTTGCCATGTATTCCTTCACACACCATTCCATATCTAATTCTTCCTCTAGTGAATCCAACCATTGGATGTTATCTTATCCCTTCGGGGTCGCGCGTTCAAATCGCGTCCTTGTCGGTATCTTTTTTCCTTTCTCTCTTTGTCCTTGACTTCTTTTTACTTTAGCTACCTCTTTTTTTCACAGGGAAACATTGGCTCTCTCAGCGGTGTCCTCGTGCTTGAGTGCCCTCTTTGGCTGAAATCAAATAGAACCCTACTTACGCCTTCTACATATGCCTACATAACTTAAATTATAACATCTTCTGCCTATCGTACTTAGTATATATCTATATCATTAGAGTCTCTTATAGATCTCTAACTACGTCGTCGTGTTCTCCAGCTGTCAGGGTCTCAACAGTCATTGTCTTATACGGCCTACTCGTTACATTCTTTGTTTAGCTCCAAACCAGAACACTCAGGGTGGATGATATGTACAGTGTCTAGATATCCATATGCTGAACTTTAATTGACATGGCAGATAACTAGACACCATCTAGCTAAGCTCTTTGATCGTGTGTATGAGAATAGACTTGATCCCCATTTATGTCGAGGACTTTGGATCTTTGTCGCCGTCTATCTTGGATCTCGGAACGCCCAGTCATTGCATGAACAATGGAACTAATTCCGTGTAGTGTATAATTTTGCACAAGCGACAGGTCTCCAGGACCAGTTTCGCTGTTTATAACTAATTAACAATACAAATAACAGTACATGCCAGATGTGGGTTGATTGGGAAGCCTAAAAGATAACAAGATGCACAGAGATGGTGCAAGTTAAGGAGAACCATTACTCATGAGCGAGGGGGTGATCATGACATCTAATGTTGCAGTACCAATAGTAGCTTTCAGTCCCAGTCGTCATCGTCATCTTCCACCCGAGACTGTTTTATCTTCGATGGACGAGCGTCGTCTGAGTCGTCAGATCGCTTCTTCAAACGTACATCGCTCTCCTTGAGGGCGCCTAGGTCTAGGAGCATCCTCTCGAGATCTACAGAGGCATACGCATTAATACCAAGACTTGATACCATATAGAGCAAAGCTCTGTACTAATGGGCATGGGCTTGACGTTACCTTCGATCGTCGTCCTAGGGCCTTTAAGTTCCCTTAGTGTTACGAGCTGTCTTCTTATCTCGCCGTCCTTGTACACTAAGATTGTCGGTGTGTTTCTATCCGGATACCCTTCAATGCACATGTTGCCGCGAATTTCGCAGAACTTGATGTCGCCAAACTTAGTCGCCAATTGCCGCCATAACTCCGTCAAGCGCTGCGACTCGACATTACCACTCGATGATGAGGACAGATGCACAAGGACAAAGGCGTTATTGGAAGCCTCAGTCACTTCTCTTCCGTAGTCGACTTTCTGAAGTGGGTAAACTTGGTTGTATATACTGGTTTTCTGGAGCGTGGAGAGCTCTGCAAAACGTTGCTTTCTGAATACCTGATAAGCGATCGTATTTCGACCATAAGAAGCCCGTAAGCGCCGGCGGTGCCATACCGATATTGCTCAAGGAACTCTTCATCCTCTTCGTCTTCAAGCTCGTCTAGTTCATCCAAATCCTTATCTTCTAGTCGGTTCTCGTAGGCCTTGCGCTCCGCCTCAACAAGGGCTTCTTGAATGAGAGGTTCCGGGTCCTGAGGCTTCTCAGGGATAACTCCGTGTTTGCGGAGAATATCGTTCCTGCGGCGGGGTGAGTATTAAGATTGTATGGGGAGGGAATGTGGTGGGGACGCAGAGGCGGACCATTCTGTATCTTCGTTGGGGTTGACTTCAACTTGCATGGTGGATTGGCGTATAGTAAAGCTCAATGGCCGAAACAGAGAGGATATCAAGAAAGAAAAAGAGAAAAGCAAGTCAAGTGCCTAGAAGGAAGTATCAGTCAACCATATATTTACGATCCCAAGACATTGATGATGCATGCCGCGTGTTTGCATAGTTTGCAGCGTCAGCCACGGTGGCTTTAAGCCCACAGACGCGGAAGGACTAAGTAGACTAAGGCCACCTGGAGATTGTTGGATGCCATCTGGACCTCCTCGTCCGACGCTTTGGTAGAACATCCATTCATTCTTCCCTGGGACGGGTTTCTCATATCCTCCACTCAACCTCGTCCCCATATTCGCTCCCTCCCCGTTCCCTTGTCTCTCCTGGAAGATAATGAGGGTGCGCTAATCACTGTTTCACCGCCTGCACCAACTACAACTAAACATTGGGACCTGACCCGCCCTTACTCGACCATTGACTCCGACGTCACTTCAACGGGGTCTAATTCCCATACACAGAGCGTGAGAAAGAGAGTCTCAGCAGCTGCAATTCCTGCAGCCCGTCATCATGAGTTACATGAAGAAAGATGAGGACGCCGACCAGACTATGATCAAGCTGGATCGGACCTCCGTCTTCCAAGATGGTAAGGGACTATCACAAACAACCCCCCTGGGTCGCATTGAGTGTACAGGGACCCCGTGGGCTAAACTTCCTTATTTATTTACCTCCAGCCCGATTGTTCAACACCTCACCGATCTCTCCGCGACAATGTCGTACCCTTCTGACCAAGATTGCGGTCCTCCTTTTCACCGGGGAGCAATTCCCCACGAACGAGGCGACTACGTTGTTTTTCGGTATTTCCAAGTTGTTTCAGAACAAAGACCCATCGCTGCGGCAAATGGTATATCTCGTTCTGAAAGAGCTTGCCAACACTGCGGAGGATGTTATCATGTCGACTAGCATTATCATGAAAGACACCGCCGTCGGTAGCGATGTGCTCTACCGGGCGAACGCTATCCGTGCTCTGTGCCGCATCATCGATGTAAGCGCATTGCCAACCTTCCCATCGCTGAGTGTGAGCTAATTGTTGTTGGAAAAGGCCACGACTGTGCAAGGCATTGAACGATTGATTAAGACCGCAATTGTTGACAAGACCCCGTCGGTCTCCTCCGCCGCCCTGGTCTCTTCGTACCATCTCCTCCCAATCGCCCGTGATGTTGTCCGCAGATGGCAGAGTGAAACGCAGGAAGCAGCGTCGTCCGGAAAACAATCGACTGGATTCCTTGGATTTGGCGGTAGCTCTACCCATGCCATCTCGCAGTCGAACTTCATGACACAATACCACGCAATTGGCCTCCTCTATCAGATGCGCTCGCACGATCGTATGGCTCTTGTGAAGATGGTTCAACAGTATGGTGCTGCTGGTGTGATCAAGAGCCCGGCTGCACTTGTCCTGCTGGTGCGGTTAGCAGCGAAGTTGGCAGAAGAAGACCAGAGCTTGCGAAAGCCTATGATGCAGATGCTTGATGGCTGGCTCCGACACAAGCACGAAATGGTCAACTTCGAGGCGGCAAAGGCTATTTGCGATATGAGGGATGTTACCGATGCCGAGGCCTCTCAAGCTGTCCATGTCCTGCAATTGTTCCTGTCATCTCCTCGGGCGATTACCAAGTTCGCAGCTATTCGCATTCTCCATAACTTCGCAACATTCAAACCCCACGTGGTGAACGTCTGCAATCCTGACATCGAATCGTTGATCTCGAACTCCAACCGCTCCATTGCTACCTTCGCTATCACCACGCTGCTCAAGACGGGCAACGAGGCCAGTGTCGATCGTCTGATGAAGCAGATCTCCGGCTTCATGGCTGATATTACCGATGAGTTCAAGATTACTATTGTTGAAGCTATTCGCACGCTGTGTCTGAAGTTCCCCAGCAAGCAGGCCGGTATGCTTTCATTCCTGAGCGGCATTCTGCGGGATGAGGGTGGATATGAGTTCAAGCGGAGCGTTGTCGAGAGCATGTTCGATTTGATCAAATTCGTTCCCGAGAGTAGGGAAGAGGGTATGCCTTCCATGCCCATTGAGATTTCATGATGCTAACGTAAATCAGCTCTCGCCCATCTTTGTGAGTTCATTGAAGATTGTGAATTCACCAAACTGTCCGTTCGTGTTCTGCATCTTCTTGGTGTAGAAGGACCAAAGACTTCCCATCCAACCAAGTACATTCGCTATATCTACAACCGAGTCGTCTTGGAGAATGCAATTGTACGCGCTGCTGCTGTGACAGCCTTGGCCAAGTTTGGTGTTGGACAGAAGGACCCAGAAGTGAAGTCGAGCGTTTCTGTTCTTCTCACACGCTGTCTTGATGACACCGATGATGAAGTGCGTGATCGTGCTGCTTTGAACCTTCGTCTGATGGCCGAGGAGGATGAGACAGCGTCGCTTTTCCTCAAGAACGGTAAGCTTAGCACTTGAAAGCTTTCTGGCCTGATTTGTTTGCTGACGGATTTAGATTCAATGTACTCTCTTTCCACATTCGAGCACCAGCTCGTGATGTATGTGACATCGACAGAGAAAGAAACGTTTGCCGCAGCATTCGACGTCTCTACGGTCCCGGTTGTTACCCAGGAGCAAGCGCTGGCCGAAGAACGGACCAAGAAACTCACGACTGCAACACCGACACTCAAGGCTCCATCCACCGGTCCCCCGAAGAGCAAGGCCAATGGTGTTGCCGAAGCCGCCACCGTTGCTGCCACTCAGAAGTACGCAGAGGAGCTTATGCGGATTCCCGAGCTCAAGGAGTACGGCACCTTGCTCAAATCTTCTGTTCCTGTCGAGCTTACCGAGAGCGAAACGGAGTACGTTGTCACGGCGGTCAAGCATATCTTCAAGGAACACATTGTGGTGCAATACGATATCAAGAATACTCTGCCGGATACTGTTCTCGAAGATGTCACCGTTGTTGCGACACCCTCCGAGGAAGATGTTTTAGAAGAGGAGTTCATTGTGCCCGCCCCCAAGCTTGCTACGAATGAGCCCGGAATTGTATATGTTACGTTCAAGAAACTTGCTGGAGAGAACAGCGTACCAGTCACATCATTTACGAATATTCTGAAGTTCACCAGCAAGGAGATCGATCCTACTACTGGTGAACCTGAGGACAGTGGATATGAGGACGAGTACCAGGTCGAAGATCTGGAGCTCACAGGCAGCGATTATGTTATTCCCACTTTTGCTGGCAGCTTCGACCATGTCTGGGAGCAGACTGGTGCGAACGGAGAGGAAGAGAGCGAAACGCTGCAACTTAGCAACATGAAGGGCATATCAGGTAAGCCATTTCCTAGCCAGGTTTGTCAAGTACCAAGTACTAAGCATATCACAGATGCCACCGAACAATTAATCTCCGCGCTATCTTTGCAACCTCTTGAGGGAACTGACGTGGCCCTCAGCAACAGCACACACACGCTTAAGCTCTTTGGAAAGACGGTATCAGGTGGCCGGGTTGCAGCCTTGATCAAGATGGCATTTTCCAGCAAGACCGGTGTCACAACGAAGATTACCGTCCGGGCGGAGGAAGAAGGCGTCGCACCGGCTGTGATTGCATCCCTTTCCTAAGGTTGTAAATTGTAAATGGTAATGGAGGAGGTTGTCATGACAGGAGGCGTACCCTGCCACGAGTCCTGCATTATGAGATCGGACTTGTTTTGTTTGTTCTTTCCCCAATTTTTGATAATCCAGATGTCAAGCTAGATATGATGGCTTTTCTTCTCTTCTTCTATCTCTTTTACCCCTTTTTTGTAGGTGTCTAAACTGTTTATCCATTTCATACTTCTGATCATGTTTCCCTGCTGTGTGTCGTGACGATTCCATCTCATAGCCTTTATTGTAGTTGTCAAAAGCGGTTTGATCCATGTTGATTTATTTTTTAGATAACACTACTTGAATTGTCGGTTTTGGAATCGTGGCAAGTGAACCTGGACTTACTATAGCCTTTAGAACTCATATAGAACAAACACTAGTAGTACATCCGAAAGGACGCCTTCAGGCAACGGTCTTGGAAAACGGCGAATAAGAGCTTTTGTTTTGGTCTAGTCATTAATCGTAGCTGAACATATATGCATATCGTACAATGCATGGATAGAATCAAATATAATAGACGCCCACTTGCTCCTCATCATCCCGGCTCTCTGCCCCAGATTGAGAATCACGCCGCTTAACCCGTTCCTGGAGAGCGTTGTCAATCTCCACATCCTCTTCCTGGCGCTCGTCCGGCACCAGATCCTCTACGAACCCGATAGAGCGAAGACTCGCCAGTCCCGAGTCGAGGGCACATATCAGCGTCTTCGACTCGAAACTTAACTTAAATTCCTCGCACGGAAACCCGAATTCTAGTACTTCTAGCTCCAGTGGCGGGAACACGTGGCATAGGATGATGAAGAACGAGTCTTCCACCATGTCGCCCGGCACACTTAGGAAGTTCAGCTTGGGTAGAAAGGCGGGTATAGCGTTGATGGATTCCGGGGTTAGACCGCGGTTTGAGCCGGAGATGGTCAGGCGTTGGAGGCTTTCGCCTAGTTGCGGACTACTCATGAGGCTGCTCAGGTTTGAGACGGAGAGGTCGGAGCAGTTTTTTAGTGCTAGGCTGGTGAGCGCTGGGGGCCAGGAGAAGGTGGGGATCAGGAGGGGGTTGAAGCGTCCGCTTATCTGGAGACGGTGGAGGGAGGGGGGCCATGGTACTTTAGCAGATTCGGGGTCGGTCAGGATGGTTGATTGTGGGAGGCGAAGGGTGACGAGTTTGTGGAGGCGGCTAATGGCCTGTTTGAGGTTGGTGAAGGAGATTGCCTCGTGGACAAGTGCGAGGTCGAGGTTTCTAAGGTTGGTGCATTTTGATAGCGCTGGGAGGCTGCTTATGCTGGGGTGGAGTGTTAGTTATCTTCGCATTCCTATATAGCTTGAGTGCGCAGGTATACGCACGAGAAGGTAAGGGTTGGAGCGACGAATACTTCTAGATTCTCCTTGACTCGGCCCAGTAGCCTCGCGGTGAGGCTGTTGGAGCTATGATGGACGAGGTGACTTAGGTTTAATCGATGCACGAAACTACCGAGATTCAGTTTGTTCTTCCGTGCATTGATCGGCGGGCTGATGGTCTCTGTGAACCGCCTGAAGGAGACTCCAGAATCTACCCGAGGCCTTTCATAGAGGTATGCGATGGCGGCGGAGTACCATTGGCGTGATACCAAACAGCAGGCATGGAGAGTCCGTTGGCGATCGAGCTCATTCCCATCGACGTAAGAAACGATCTGCACCACGACTTCCGTGGGGAGATGAATATGGCGAGAGGGGTGCATCGGGGGCGTTCAGATCGCTGATTTCCATGGTAAGGTTGTCTGCAGCCGATCTTTGTGGTGGAAGTGGAGTCGGTGTGGGATAGACTAAAGAAATAGTATGCTTTTCTTTGCTTTTCTGCTGCGGGAGAAATGATATCATGGGGTCGCCGATAAGGAGATAAATTGCCGACCAGTCATGACCAGTAAACAACTCCTCCGCATCTCCCATCGGTCTTGTTTCCGCTACTCCTCCAAACGATATTACCCCCTTTCCACCACTCAATCTCATAGACTCTTGTTCAGAATGCGGCCCCAAGGGCTTTGCCGGTCTTTCGGCCTGCTTCACCGCGCGGCTACTCGTTCCTTCGTAGAGTCCGGTGCAGGTCGCCGATTCATTCAAACCACAACCAGCTCCCAGCCTCGGGTTCCAGACTTTGCCTTTGCTTTCGAGTAGGTATACTATACCTCTGAGCTCTGCCTCAGCTTCAATGTCTAATTGTGTGACCAGTATCGACGGCGTCCTTCTCAGATCCTCCAAGCCCATCCCCGGCGCTGCGGAGTCATTAGCTCTCCTCAAGGAACAGGGAATCCCCTTCATTCTGTTGACAAATGGCGGTGGGAAACATGAGACGGAAAGAGTGGCCGAAATCAGTGAAAAACTGCAGTTACCATTGGATCCCTCGGTAATCGTCCAGAGCCATTCCCCTTTCGCGGAGCTCGTACGCGGACCAGATGAGCAGAGTTCTCTCGAAAACAAGTGCGTGCTAGTAGTCGGAGGTGAAGGCGACCGCTGTCGACAGGTTGCAGAGAGGTACGGTACTTGCATGCACCAGAGTAACATTAGCGACAAGGCGCAGTTTTGACACAACCCCCAGGTACGGCTTCAAAAACGTGATCACACCTGGTGATATCATCATGGCCAATCCGACCATTTGGCCTTTCTCCAATGTGTTCAAGGATTACTATAAATCATTTGCGAGGCCACTGCCGAACCCCCAGGATCCTAAAGACCCGACCAAGGGCCTCAAAGTTGACGCCATTTTTGTTTACAATGACCCGCGCGACTGGGCTCTGGATGCGCAAGTGATCATGGATTTCTTGCTCTCGTCTCAGGGTGTCCTCGGAACTCTCTCGGAGAAGAACGGACGGTCTGACTTGCCAAACCGGGGTTACCAGCAGGATGGTCAGCCACCTCTCTACTTCTCGAACCCTGATCTGTGGTGGGCTGCAGCCTACCATCTCCCGCGTCTCGGCCAGGGTGGGTTCCGGGAAGCGTTGGAAGGCACCTGGGCTGCAACGACTGGTGGCCCGAGCAAAGGCGTTGAGTTGAAGAAAACGGTTATCGGAAAACCGTACCAGGGTACTTATGAGTTTGCAGAGAACCAACTCCTGCGGAACCGCTCCCGCGTTTTTGGTGCAGAGGCCAACATTCCTCTACGAAACGTCTACATGATCGGAGACAACCCGGAATCTGATATCCAGGGCGCCAATACATATAGGAGTCCTTATGGCAGCAATTGGCATTCGCTTCTCGTGCGAACTGGAGTTTATCGTGGAGGGGAACCTACATGGACACCGGAGTCCATCCACGACAATGTCAAAAAGGCTGTTGAATATGGCTTGAAGTCCTCTAAGTGGTAGTTTTAAAGACATCATGCAGAGGCTGTCATGATTTCGTGAATCTCGGTCTATAGACTAATGCTGCAACAGTAGATGCCTTGGCATATAGACAGGGTCGTCGGCTGCTCTCCCTAAGACCTACTTGAAACCTTTCATACTGTTAAATGCATATAGATACCATAACAATCCATCCGTTTAATCATCTTTTGTTAATGGGATTTGAAACTATTACAGCTCTTATCCTTACCTCTTGTTCGGCCATTCGATTAACTAGACCAATACCTGAGGCTGACTTCCACATACTGCTGGGTGTATAGAACTTCGAAGTTCGACATAGCTTCAAGAATTAGGGCTGGTAGCCTTCCTCCACATAATTCAGTGCCTGAGGCGCAAACACGGCGGCCCAAATCATGTGACACAGCCCCTCATAGGGCTTAGGGCTGTCTCCATGCGGTGGGGTGACTCAAAGTGTTGATTGAGTTGCAAAGCTCAGCGCCGTCATCGGTTGATTGTTGACCTTCCCCTTATTGCCTTCTTTCTCAAGGAACAATTCGCGCAACTAACCATGGCGGATTCCGAATTGCCCACTCGCCCTAAGCCCGAGGAGACCCCCGCCGCGGCCCCCGCGGAGGGTGCGGAGCAGAGCAAGAGCGCCAGCAAGAACGCTGCGAAGAAGGCCGCAAAGGAGAAGGCCAAGGCCGAGAAAGCTGCTGCGCGCGCCGCCCAAGAGAAGGCTCAGGCCGCTGCCGCTGAGGCCAACGACACCGCAAAGGATCTCTACGGCAAGATCCCCGAATCCGAGGACGTCCTCCCCACCACGAAGTTCAACGACATTACCGATGACCACTACGAGAAGGAGATCACCGTGGTTGCTCGTGTTGACAATGCCCGTGTCCAGAGTGCTAAGCTGGCCTTCCTGATGCTCAGACAGCAGGGCAAGAAGGTGCAGGCTGTTATTGCCGCCGCCGAGCCTATTTCGAGACAGATGGTCAAGTACACCGGTGGATTGAACGTCAACTCCATTGTCCAGGTTACCGGTATCGTCAAGAAGCCCCAGGTTCCCATTGCCTCGGCTACTCTCAACAACCATGAATTGCACATCCGCAAGGTCTACATGATTGCTGAGGCCGCTCAACAGCTTCCTATGCAGGTCAAGGATGCCGAGAGACCGCCTCCGGAGACCACCGAGGAGGGCCCCCAGGTTGACGCTGACGGCGCCCCCATCGTCACTCTTAAGACCCGTCTCGACAACCGTGTCCTCGATCTGCAGACCGAGACTAGCCAGGCTATTACTTGGATTTCCAGTGCCGTTGCAGAGCTGTTCGCAGAGTACATGATCAAGAGCGGTTCAAGGTGGATCTTCACTCCCAAGCTGGTTTCTTCCGCCACGGAAGGTGGTAGCAACGTTTTCGAGGTCAAGTACTTCAAGAGGAACGGATACTTGGCGCAGAGCCCGCAGCTGTACAAGCAGATGTGTATCGCCGGTGACATGGAAAGTGTGTTCGAGATTGCTCCCGTTTTCCGTGCGGAGGACAGCAACACCCACAGACATTTGACTGAGGTATGGCGGTAACAACGCTCTTCTTAACATTGCTAACTGAATCCATTTTAGTTCTCCGGTCTCGATTTCGAGAAGACCTTCCACGGCCACTACCATGAGGTCTTGGATTTCGCCGAAGACCTTCTCGTCTTCATCCTTACTCAGCTTAAGGAGCGCTACAAGGACCAGATCGCTGTCATCCAGAAGTCCTACCCCAAGGCTGGTGACTTCAAGCTCCCCAAGGACGGCAAGGCCCTGCGCTTGAACTACATGGACGGTGTCGCGATGTTGAAGGAGGCTGGTGTCGACGTCTCCGAGCAGGAGCGATTCGAGAACGACTTCAGCACTGCCATGGAGAAGCAGCTTGGCCAGATCATTCGCGAGAAGTACGACACCGATTTCTACGTCCTGGACAAGTTCCCCATGGCTGTGCGCCCCTTCTACACCAAGGCCGACCCCAAGGATGCCCGCTTCTCCAACTCGTATGACTTCTTCATGCGTGGTGAGGAGATCATGTCCGGTGCCCAGCGTATTAACGACGTCAACGAGCTGATTGAGTCGATGCGCGCCAAGGGCATCAACCCCGACCAGGAGGGCTTCGAGGACTACCTGAATGCCTTCCGCCAAGGCTGTGCTCCCCACGCCGGTGGTGGTCTTGGTCTGAACCGTATTGTCATGTTCTTCCTGGGTCTGCCCAACGTTCGTTTGGCGACCTTGTTCCCCCGTGACCCCCAGCGTCTGCGCCCATAAGCGTCTAGCCGGGTTGAAACAGGATTGGTATAGACGACCAAGAGTATTTTATACCTGCATGAGATAAAACAAAAGATAATGGGATCATGAGACCGACATGTTATATATGAGCACGTTCACAGCTGTAAAATCCGTTTGTGTAGGTGGTAGAATCAGCCAATGCATTTGAAATACTGTACATACATATACAAATGAACATTTAGAGGTGGCCCAAGCTCCCGGTGGGACCTCCCAAACTTCTTTTTTAGTCCAGTCCAGGAACAACTTCAAAGAACTCCTCTTCACCCACTCTCACCAAAGGCCATGTCCAGCATACCCGATAAGCGCAAACAGCCCAGCTCTCAGACTGGCGGGACCCCTTACGCAAAGCGACCCCGTCCTTCTTACGCCGACGAAGAAGATGAAGACGAGATGGCACCAGCCGTAACTCCGTACGAACGTCCTCGGAACCACCCGATCTACGGACAGAAGAGCGCTTTTCCCGGTCTCGACACCGCCGACGACGACGAACTCTTCTACGGCCCAGCAGAGGACGGCTTGGAATATCTTCGCATGGTCCGGTAAGCCCCACACCAACTCTCCCTTTGCTTGATCATACCGGTTCCTTTTTATCTATTTTCCCGCTTGCTAAACGCCCGCGTGTATTTGCTTATTGCAGCCCGCGATGAATGCGATTCTATTCTATTCCGATTCTGGAGCTAATCCTGACCATGCGGTGGAAATCATAGGTCAGAAGCTAATTCACTGCCCTTCCTGTTTACCGCGCCTCAGCCTACAGATCCGCCCGCCGAGGAAACCAAACCGAGTGAAGCCGAACAAGACTCCAGCGAACCTCAACCCGAAGAAGAGAAGAAGAAGACGGATGTCGCCCAGGAAGGCATCTACAGGGATGGGGTGTACGTCGCGGCCCCGTTAACTACCGCGACGACACAACCGGATACCGCCGAACCAGTGCAATCGGATGCGCAGTCGAGCTATTACAACCTCCTACACCACCGGTTCTTGCTCCTCCGGTCGATATTAAAATGCACACCGCCATCGACCGCCATAGCGGCGCTGGATGAGTCGCATCCGATAAGTCTGCCGCGACGCTCGAGAGACGCGCGCAAGGAGTGGCGGCGTCTCTTGCTAGCGGCGGACCCGCAGACGGTGCAGCTAGCGTGTATGGATATGGAGAGTGTGTTGGGGGTGCTGGAAGTTATGGCGAAGCTCATGTCGGAGAATATCAGGAGTGGGGATGCGGAGCGGGTTCGACGGATTGGTGCGTGGGCTTGGGGCTTACTGGGCAAGTGTCGCGATGTTGGGCAGTTGGCGTCGGAGGAGGTGGGTGAGATTAGGGATTTGGGGAAACGCGCTGCTAAGATCTTGCGGAAGATGCGCGAGGAGGATGAGAAGAAGCGCTCGGCTGGGGTGGATGGGAACGTGTCGAGTGGAGAGTCGGATGACGAGAACCCAGCTGAGGATCATCCTCCGGTGGAAGAGGAAGCAAAAGAGAATGCCGAGGCGCCCAGTGATCCTGCTGGCGAATCTCTCGACCACGATATGCCGGACGCGGAACAAGAGCCTCCTGCCGAGGAGCTAGAAATGGCGAAAGCACAGCTACAGGCTAAGATTGAGCAAGTCGATGTATCTAAATCGGCCGAACCCGATGCGCAGGAGGACGAGCCTAAGACTGAGGATAATGCCGTCGACGTCGCCATGCAAACCCGGGCCATGCTGGATATGATCATTACAGTGGTCGGGGAGTACTATGGCCAGCGCGATCTACTTTCGACCCGAGAGCCCTGGAACGACTTGACAAGTTTGTTTTGAACAGTTGGTTATCCTGGGTCCATAATTCTTATAGAAATAGTCGGTTGCCGGTGTTTCCTGGCCGACCATCATTTAATCGGCGCTTATCAGTGGAAGGCGAAACAAACTGCATCAAGATACCCCAATCGATCGCCATTCACTGTTAAGAAAGGGAATAAATCCATAATACACACTATTGTACTTAATAGCAATAAGCCAGGCACACAATGTCTGCCTGAGTCAGTAAAACCGGTGAGCCTTGCGTCATTACAGCAAGGCGTAAAATAAGGTCGACTCCGTCCGGTGACTGACAAGCTAAGCTTATCAGTCATTCCTTTACTTCCATTTATCACCCTCGTCATTCTCCCCCTAAACCACATCATCCACCCCCAATCCACGGCCACAAATCCCTCCCAAAGACCAACATCGACGAAATAAAGAGCCCAAAAGAAACCCAAGAATTCCATGGCCCCCTAAACCCCCTAACCAAAACACCATGTCCCCCAACCTCGAAATCACCATCCCAACAACCAGTCTCTCCCCAACCTCGCCCCCCTACACAGTCTACAACCTAACGCTCCGGCTCCCGCTGCGCTCCTTCACAATCGCCAAGCGCTACTCCGACTTCCTCGCCTTCCACAAGACCCTAGTGACGCAAACCAACGCCGAGCCCCCCGCGCCGCTCCCGTCCAAAACCTGGTTCAAAAACACCGTCTCCAACGCCTCGCTCCGCGAAACCCGGCGCCAGGCGCTAGAAGCCTACGTCCAGGCCATAAACGATGCAGACGATGCCCGGTGGCGCAACTCGCCCGCCTGGCGCGCGTTCTTGAACCTGCCGTCGGCGGCGAACGCCTCGCATACGTCGACGAGACTCCATGCGGCCATTACGGACCCCGGGAGCGGTGCCGGTGGGGCGAATAACCCCATCACGGATCCGACGCTGTGGCTGGATGTGTATCGCGACATGAAGTCGCATTTGCATGATGCGAGGTTGCAGTTGACACGCCGGGACCAGGAGACGACGCCGCAGAAGCAGCATGAGAGCTCGGCGCGCGCGAAGAGTAGTCTTGTTAGGGCGGGGAGCTTGGTTGCGGCGTTGGAGGCTGGGTTGAAGGTTATGGGGGAGACGGCGAATCGCGCGCAGAGTCCGGGTGGGAGGGGTGGCGAGTTGGGGGATGGGGAGTTGCGGCGCAGGAAGGATCTTCTTATTAATGCGCGGAAGGAGAAGGATGGGTTGGAGGATTTGCTGAATGCTATGGCGGCTAAGAGCCGGGTGGATAATGCGGTGGCTTCGGTGCAGGATAAGGAGGCGTTGGTTGGGAGCGCGAGTAGGAAGCCGGCGAGGTCGGGGAGGGTTTTGGGGAAGGAGACGGAGAGGACACGCGAGCTGGATAACCAGGGAGTGCTGCAGTTGCAGAGGCAGACAATGGATGATCAGGATCAGAGTGTGGAGGAGTTGTTGAAGATTATACGCAGGCAGAAGGAACTGGGCATTGCGATCAATGAGGAGGTGGAGATTCAGAATGCCCTTCTGTCGATGGCTAATGAGGATGCTGAACGGTATGTGGTTGCTTTGGTTTCTCTTATGCGGCTGGACGTTCTTCTTTGACTAATGGTTCTTTCCAGGGTACACCGCAAGATCGATGTCGGAAAGAAGAGGATAGGGAAGATTTCTTAAGCGGGGCGATGCCCCTGTATCATTTCGTGCCATTTGGAGCGTTCTACAGGCCTCCTACGCTTTGGCCTGGTTGGTCTATTCTAGCGAGCATGGGTTTTGCAATGGGAGTTATAGTATTATTATAATGATATCGTTCACTAGTCATATCGGCTGCCGTTCAGCTCACTCTGGAACCTCCGGCTCAACACTCACTTTGCGGACAAGAACTGTAAACCGCGATTAGTCTAGGTCATTCCTTCATGTTAATGAAACTTACTTCTTTGGCCTCCGCATCGGTAACCCTAGATTGATCCGACTCGCGCTGAGTAACAAGTCCCAGCTTGCTTCGTCGAATAAGCCACCACAGCTCTTGTCGGTCTCCTCCAAGCTTCTCCTGCAACAACTTATCTTTGAGTTGGCCCAGGAAGTCATTGTACGAGACAGGCTCTTCGTACGACACCAGCTCATCACGCATCGTTCCCAGCGCTTCAACAACCCGGTCGTAGTTAGCATCACCGAAGCTATGCTTGATTTGATCTTCAATGATGGCCATCATCTGCTTTGTAGCGTCTTTGATGGCCTCGATATTCTCGGCTTGTGCGAGAGTTTGCTTGAACTCGGGAATGGCATTGTTGGGAGAGATCTTAGCGCGCTTTTCATGATGAAGCAGGGCATCGACGTCGAGTCCAGAAAGCGGCTTTTCAGTTTCGCGGGTGCGCTTGCGACCCTTTGCTTTGGGAGGAACTAGTAACAAGATTAGCAGCCTGACAGACTTCATTGTTTGGGAGGGTTGGCCCAACCCTTCTTAACATCAGCTATCTCGATCAATTTCTCTAGGTGTTTCTGCGAATTCTGGATGAGATCCTCTGGTGGGTGTGAATATTTGGTTAATCTCTCCGATGGAGGGAGTATGGGCTGGTCTGAATGTATAGCTCGAGCACGGATGGCGTTGTCAATCCGGTGCAAGACAGGCGAGTAGGAGTCGTCGATAGGGAAAGTCTCCACCGGATTCCTGGTTTTGTCAATAAGAAGATATTTGGAATCATTGAGGCATAAGCTTACCCATCCTCATCTGTGTCGACAAGCTCCATACTATTCACGTACTTGCCCATCACATCGAGTAAATCATCACTGGGAAGATTTCGGTGTTGCGTCACAACCTTTCCAGAAACAGTTATCACCTTATCCAGAGGAGGGAAGCGATACGTTCGGACATCTTCGGCGAATGGTAGCTGAACTTCGAGCAGGCATTCATAATCAGGCTCGATCGAGGGCGCCAGCAAGACTATAACCGGTGTCTTGTTCTCTTTCACAACTAGACGGGCAACAGCATAGCAATCTAGCTCAAAAAGTGCGTGTATAAAGGATGAAATGGCAAGAGCAGCTTTGTCGTTGGCACGTTGTGCAATTATGATGTTTGTGCTGGACATGTGCATATAACGTTCATACTGTTGTCGTGTCTTAGCGCATGCATCTTGGCGACTTCAGTAACACATACCTGGTCAGTCTGGATGAAGCCCATCAATTCCAGCCCTGCGAATGTTTCAAGAATCGTGATATTCTCATCAGTCTCGCTTATATGAACTGCTGTCCGTCCGTACTCATATCCTTTGGCGAGGTCATCTCGTTCGACGTCGATTTTCCCACCCGGTGCACTTTTGTCCTCAACTTGATATGTTCTCATGGTTCTCACCGTTGTGAGTCCAGCATCTGCAGACTGGCTACTTTTTTGGGCAGCAACAGCCTCAGATGACTCTGCCTCTTCAGGCTCGGAGCGCAGGACGAAAGAACTTGCGGTCGGGGGTTTGGCCGGATAAGTCCGATAGTACCTTTCAACAGGAATACGGAGCGCAGAGTCATACTCTTCCGGGTTACCTAGTTGGAGATATCCTTTGAAGCTTGCCATTGACCTAACAGACTTGACACGGGGGATGTCCAATTCAGCCACAGCCTGCTCGAATGTTCCGTAGACTCCATCGCAATCTTCTACGAGGGTACGCAAGAGAGTTTCATTCTCAGCCTGTTTTCTATTGTTAGAAGATAAAGGTCAAATTGCGCGGGAGATCTCGCTACCTTGTGAGGGTCTTTGTCTTCTTCTTTGTAACCGTACTCAGGGTCATCGAAATCAATCCCCCTGCTCCAAGTTAGTTTTTGTGTCGTTGCTATTTCGTAGCAAATCACTGACATAATGACAAGTTCGATGTTATCCTCCTTGACCTTTTTCACTATCTCGTCCAGGTCCTCATCGCTCATGCGCCCCTGTCCGTTGGTGACCAAAACAATCTTGCGCCTATACTTCAACTTCTTGCAATGCGTGATGATCATCTGAATAGCCAAGATAATAGCGGAAATAGCTAGAGAACAAAGTTTAGTATTTAGATGACAAAGCCCAATGGTTTGCAAAACAGCTTACCGTCTCCCTTGTCCGTTTTGCTTGGTTTCATTTCATCCTCCAGTTTCCGAATGTCCGGCATAAGAAACCTTTGACGTCCTGTCAGTTTGGCGCACAAGCCAACCTATCATATTGTGGAAGCATACTGTTTGATGTTCGATAGAACTGAGATGTGAGAGAAATGCGCGTCATCTTCAAGTTCGTTGGACGTTTCTACTCTTTGGGTCAGTCTATGAGCCGCACACGGTATTCAGAAGTATACCCACCATCTGTCCTGAGCCCAATTACACCCATCATGGCAGTTTTTCGGCCAGTGGCCACCTAATTTGGAAATAGACAAGTTATATAACGATCATAGCTCAAATACGGTGAGTACCACTCACTGTTCCTGTAATGCGATCCCAGACATATTGCATGGCCCATTCAAGATCACTCACTGATCGACCATTGCGGCATTCTCCCATGGACTTCCCAACGTCCACAATGTACACAGTTGCTTCCTTGTCTGCCATTGTGAATGCAATGCGGTCCAAATCTTGAGATTACCCAAGCGAAGTCGACATTTAAACTAGATGTATAAGGCACAAGGCACCTTCCGCTAGGCGACACGATGGCCAGGCAGACGCGTGATATTTCCCTTTTGGGTGAGAGCGGGACGCGAAGGCACATGACATCATGGCAATGGGAAAGTGCGTGGAAAGAGCAAGTTCAGCACACAACAGTGTGTGGCATTATGAAAAGCATCGAATATTGAAGCGCAAAGCATTGCTACATGGACAGTTAAAAATGAGCCTTGTTTCATAATGTTATTTCATTGTACTATGTCTATAATATGGTATGATATCTCCGTTTTCTTTATATTATAACCCCAAGAGCAAAAACACCGATTCTAAACCATGGGCAATTTGGAACTGAGATCGTGACGGTCCTTATAAGCCTCGGTGATCTCTTCGAGACATCCAGCGGCAGCGGCAAAGAAGCCCAAGAAGGTCTTGCTAGGCGCAAGGACTCGGCTCAGGTACTCGGGGTGGAACTGTACACCGACGTACCACTTATGGTCCTTCAGCTCAATGACTTCCATACGCTCGCCGGCCTCGTCCTTTCCAATGAAGGATAGTCCACCCTGCTCCAGCTGGCCGATAAGCTCAGGGTTCACCTCGTAACGATGGCGATGTCTTTCCCAGATTTCCTGCTTCTCCCCGTACAGCTTGCGCAAACGAGACCATTCGGTACCAGACTGGAACACAGTCGCCCGCTTTCCAAGACGCATTGTACCACCCATCTTAGTCTTGTCGATCTCAGGCATGTAGATGATAACAGGCTGTTCGCAGGTCTCGTCGAACTCGGCGCTGCTTGCCTTATCCATACCGCAGACATGTCGGGCATATTCGACCACAGCCAATTGCATACCAAGGCAAATACCAAGGTAGGGAACGTTGTTGGTACGGGCCCACTGGGCGGCCAAAACCATGCCGGTCGTACCTCTTGAACCAAATCCACCGGGCACAAGAACCTATGAATGTCAGTATTGAGTAGGCATAGCCAAAGAAGATCAAAACCTACTCCGTTGGCGGTAGTCAAGTTATGCCACGCGGAATAGTATTCCGCAGGGTTGTTTGCCTTGTGCTCATCTTCAAGATGAGTCGATTCGATCCAGATCAGATTCAACTTCTTGCGGCAATGCATGGACGCCTTTCATGGATGATTAGCAACGACACAACGTCTATATGATCGGTCAAACTCACATGTTCCAGCGCCTTGCTCACACTCATATATGAGTCATGCAAGCTTGTGTACTTGCCAATCAAGGCAATCGTCACCGTCTCAAGCGAATGGATTTGGTTCATAGCCAAGCCCTGCCATTCCTGCCAGATGAGCTTACCACTGTCAATAAGCTTCTGATCCTTGGGGATAGCATCGGTTTTAAGGAGTTCACTAAGAGTACTGAGAAATCCCTGTTGCGCCAGAAGGATAGGAACCTGATATGTAGTAGAGACGTTGTGTACGCCAACAACCTGGTTCCGTTCCACTTGGCAAGAATTGGCGATCTTTTGAATAGTTGCCTCCTCCAGGGGCGTCTCGCAGCGGCATGCAATGATGTCAGGTCTGAGACCAGCACTACGGACATCACTGATGGCCCTCTGGGTAGGCTTGGTCTTCTGCTCCGAGCCAATTAGAGGAACATAGCTGACTTGGATCTGAAGGAAGTTGTTCTTGCCAACTCGTCTTTGGAGCTGAGCCATGGCCTCAACGAATGGTGCGCTCTCGATGTCTCCAACGGTACCGCCCAACTTAAAAATGCTAGGTTAGTCTATGATGCGATCCGTCGGTGCTTTCCAGTACTCACTTCGACTAACACAGAAGTTAGCAAACACATTCACATTATTTGGCCCGGCATACTTACTGATGCAAACGTCAGGCTCCTTTCCAGACTCATCCACGGAAACCTTGGCGACCTTCTCAACCCACTGTATATCACGTTAATGCACTTCCTGACCAAGTAGGCACCACCCTGGGACGTACGTTCTGGATTTCATTCGTCAGATGGGGAACGATCTGCACCGTCTTTCCGAGGTAATCTCCACGACGCTCCTTAGTGATGACATGGTGGTAGATCTTGCCGGTAGTGATATTGTTGTCACCACCAAGAGTAACGCCGAGATAGCGTTCATAGTTTCCAAGATCCAGATCTGTTTCTGCACCGTCGTCGCAAACGAACACTTCACCGTGTCTTTTTATTGTGTCAATGAATGCAGGTATACGGGGGAATTATGTTGGACCAACTCTAGAGGCTATATCGAAATCCATTAGCTTGTACGGCAATTGAGATGTTAAAGAAGTTTGTAGCCACTCACGTTCATAAGACCAGCATCGATGTTTAGGTAGGGGTCGATCTTGATCGAAGAGACAGTCAAACCCGCCGTCTTGAAGAGCAATCCACAGCTTGAGGCGATAATGCCCTTGCCAACGCCGGAGATGACACCTGCAGAGGGCTGTTAAAACAATGACAGAAAAACATAGATCGGAAAGCAATTACCTCCAGAAACCAGAACGTACTTCATTTTGCAAAATCTGAAAGTTAGCCCCCCTAGTAGAATACTAGGGAGGGGGGAAGAACAAAAAAAAGTGGGCGCGAATATCCGCTTTTGGTGACTCTATAGAAAAAAAAAATTCTATCTTACCTAATCAATCATGTGGGCGGTGAGGCGGACAGTGAGGAACAACAGTATGGAATACTAAAAGCGGAGCGCTTCCCTGTTACATCACTGCCTCGGACCCCGTCCGTTGTTGATTTCAATACATACTACTCACTGTTCCATTTTCCCACCATGATTGACCCTCGCCCTTATCACATTCTAAGGTTAGTATTTTATAGGCACGTAGTCTATGCAGAAGCAACTTGCTTATTGGTACTTCCAGCTATGGCACTCTACTCGGTGTCCAAGTGTATCAGGTATACGATCATGCAACATTTAGCGCCATTGACAGTCTACTAATTCTCAACGGAATAGACCTTCGTTTCCGGGATTGTAGCTTTTAGAGCCCTTCCTCGACCTCAGTTTGCTTCGTTGCAAACTGCCACATTCCCAATTTACTTTTCTCTTCAAACGGCACTTCCAGTGCTAGTTGCTTTGACAGCTACCAACAATGGACAGCCGCTCGGCATCTCCGGACTCTTGGAGAACCCCAAGACTTTACTCCCCATGGCCGCGGCTGCTGTGACTGGACTTGTCAACATGGTCGTGCTCCGCCCTCTGACTGTTAACACCATGCGTGAAAGAAAGCACCAGGGTAAGATCATCGGCCTCCTTCTAATGGGAAAGCGCACTGATTTGATTGCCCAGAAACCCGGGATGGCAAGAAGAGTTACGACCCCCCTCCCCATTCCAAGGAGATGGTAGCTCTTAACAAGAAGTTCGGCCGACTCCACGGCTTCTCAAGCTTGATCAACCTGGTCTGTCTCGGTGCTACCATTTACTATGGTGCTGTACTTGGCAAGCGACTGGCTTAAGGACATGTCCTTTGGTGATTTGAGCTGGTCATATATGCCTCAGTGCACTATGGCAGGTCGTTCCGGCCTCGATTTATCCTTGTAAATAGTGAAATTTGATCTTAAAAGATTTGAGGCGATGCAAATATGTCCAATTAACCCTTTGTTAGTTTCGTCTAAACACATACCCTACCGGCTTTTTCGCATTTACAGTCTCTTTAACAGCTAAATGGTCCATACACAGAGACATACACAGAGAGAGAGAAGTCCTCAGTCTCTCAATTTTTACCAACAGAATCATAGGAGCAACAGCTAAAGTATTGTAGAGAGGAGTATACGGCACTAACCTGCAGGCCCTAAATACCCAGTTGGGTTAGCGCAGTATCACCTATCTAAACACAGCCATGCTAAAGAAAGGCTCGGGATACACAAAGTTAGGTATTCGAAGTAGGCTAAACCAACCCCTGATAACGAGTGTGGAGCAAAATGAGCTGTTCCAGCCTCATACCAATTGGATCTGGCCCCCAATCAATCTCGGCTTTTGGCCCCTTCCGTCTTTAACTCCTGAAGGCCAACAGTTTGGACAGCCGAGACGCCAGTATGGCCAATAACGTTTGTCAGTACCTGAATAGCCCCGACTAGCCTAAAATATCCGAAGTCTCGTGTTCGCAGTAGTCTCTTAGTACTTCTAACTACTAGTAGTCCGTGCTGGTGGGTTTGGAATGTTTGAGCAATCGTTGCTTTTGGCATCGACTAGCCTGTGCTCTGATTGGCCCGCTCGCAAATGACATCATAAGAAAGTAGACTAACGGTTTGGGGTTTAGCCTGTCACATTAAGCCGTCCAATGAAGGCCGTTATCAAGATTTGATACTAAACAGAGGAGATCCAGGCCAGTTGAACCAAACATTAGTGACCATGTCAGGCTATGAATAGATTTTTCTTTTGGTCCTTCGTCGATGGAAGAGGGGTATAAATAAGAGTAGAATGAGGGAGATAATGGTGTTCAAGCAGATTCTTTCGTTCTTGTCACTCTTTCATCTTCAAATCAATTCATATATATATACCATTTCATTTGTGGAGCGCTAGAAACTATTCATTGAACTTCATCTTTCTCATATAACAGTCCCTCTTTCTAATCGTGAGTTGTGCTTTCCCTGGTCTTCGGTATGTGCGAATTGAAGCTGATAAAGTATAAATCATAGAGTATGGCTCTTTCATACGAAGCAATCGTCGTCATCGTCCTCCTTGGCTGCGTCGCTGCTGTCCTTATCGGTTATTCCATACACTCTCTTTCAACCAACGGATTCCAGGATGATGAGCCGAAGCTTGATATATCATATGAGCAAAGGAAATATATGCGGGAACACCGACTACGCAACCTACACTGGCTCGCTCGGGAAGCCCGTGGTGGAAAAGTGGATCGAGACGTTGAAGCGGCCTTTCCTCCTAGCGCGGAGCACCATGATTGAGTCGACAGTGGTATAGAAAATGGATTATCTCTTTTTACGAAGCAGTTGATCTCATGCGGAGCCCGAGAGAGTGCATCACTACATTCACGCTGTGGGGGATGTCGTGGCTTGGTTAAACAAACACTATTGTATTGGAGTTGCTCCAGAAGTCATGAGCTTACGACGTCAAGAGTTCTTGTCGAACAAATCAAAAGCATGTCCTGGCGACTTGCATACATGGGACCATGGTCTTGCCTGCTCTTTAGTTGGTTAGCAGCCACGTTAACATAATGGGTGTTTGCCATTGTACAGTACTAGTCAAAGGTTAGACTCTATACCAGGAAAACACATGTCCAATACCACACATAACTCTTGAAATCACATCAGTTTTATGCAAACGGCCACTATCTTGCAAAATAGTATCATAATTCCCCGGGCTCTTGCTCACGTATGGGCAGCGTAACTTATCACGCATCTTGTGGGGCACATTAACTGCTCCTGACTCTGTCGAAAACGCAAGTCGGCTATCCCACGCTAGTGAGTTGCAGTGGTGGCATTATATGTGAGACACATGGTACTCTAAGCTGAAAACAGTCACAGAGAGCATTATCTTAATTCTATATTCTTTTCTTCCTCTCTCTAATTTTATTTCTATATAGCGGCCCGCTCTACTCCTCTAGTAACCAGTCCGATTTCTTTACCTCTGCATCAACCGGTATATAAAATAGTAGTCAAACAGCCTGGAGGTATATGATCTGCTATCCCACGGAGAGTACCTTTTTATAGATAAGCAGTCACTCTTGATGACTTTGCCAACTGGTAATATGTCCATACCTATATAATTGACCTACATAGATATATATTCTCAATCGCCAAGATGTATATTAAAAGAAAGAGATTTCTGCTGGGAAATTTAATAATTATTTGAAACGACAGCAAAACTCGTTGACTATCCTATTAGAATACTGTTTCTCCCAAGCTACGCTGAGGTACGCTACAGAGCAAGATCATCCATGTATTCTCCATTGTCAGATTGCTACAATATGTCTGGAAACAAACTGTCAAGGCGACTAGAGCTTGAATAAGAGGTCTACTTGTCCAACCACAAGAAAGAGATTTGTATAATTACAGATAGGTATATTAGCAGAGAGATGAGAGGACAAAGGAACCTGTCTAACATAATCGCAGTTCTTCTAGAGCTGATATGCTGGAGGTTGACGGGATATGTAAGTGGTGTGCTCGAGGGGGTGTGGGACGAGTACGATGTCCTCTCACATAGTTAAGTAATAAAATCAAAGTAATTCCAGCTGTTATGCGCCTAATACTTAATTCTGTGCGTATAGTTGAACCATCAGCTCCTATAAATAACTCTTTTCCCCCACCTGGTTGTCTGCAGTTCCTTCCTACTGGTCTTCTGTTTTAATATATCCCTCATCTTTTTATATATGTATCGAAATCCTTTCCTACATCCTCCTACCACTTCTCAACACCAGTCCGTCACAATGAAGTTTATAACCCTTATTGCTATGTTTCTTGTCGGCCTCGTTGCTCCTGTTGCCATCTCCCTCCCATTCAAAAACAAAAACCTACCATCTAGAGCTGGCCAGAGTGAGCAATATGCCCCTCAAGATATACACCGAATATACTAACAGTATCAACACCACAGGCCCTCCCCAAATTTCCTATCGCAGGCTTGTAAAGGCTCGAAAGATCACCAAATGCCGCGCCAACATCGACTGCTCACCAGGAGTCTGTTACGACGGCATCTGCCTCGATTCAGCCGAGTATGGACCCGGCGTGGTCATACCGCCTGGATCAGACCCTCGATGCCGCAACAACATCGACTGTAACCCGGGCACATGTTCCCAAGGCATCTGTATCGCTCCTCTTTAGCTTTGCGTCTCTCGATGCCACCAGCGCCCCGGATGTGGCACTGGTGCTGATGCTGCGCTGGACGTTGCTGACACTGCCTACACGTGGAGACCTCCATTGCCCGGGTTGTGCTGGGTTTCCCCTGGTAGGTTCTCATAGTTCCGATGAAGCTTTCGAGCATTCCCACTAATATTGTATATGCAGGGTGAGCATGTTGACCCATTTTTTTCTTCTTGGCGCTGGCGCTATGGCGGTCATCGTGCCTGGTCTGGGGTTTTGGGGGCCAAGGACTTCTTGGATTCTGTCTTGCGGCTGGCTGTACTATACCTGGGAAGGCGTTTGTGATATTATTGTTTTTGGTTTTCTTTCTAATCTCTGGAGATAGGAAAATAATCAGTTTGATAGATATTATATCCTGCTCCATGGGTAAGTAATATATCGTGATAGAGCAGGTAGCAAGAGACAGACAAGGCATGGAATGTTGGAAACTGGCTGGGTTCGGGGATAATAAGTAGGTCTAGAGGTTCTTTTTCATGGTAGTATATCGCTGAAGTCAAACTTGGGGTTCTCTATATATAGTTATTATTGTTCGCTGTTAACTATGAGTTATTTCTATAGATCATAAGATTACCTATTGGGGTATGGTGTATAGTAATTCATGCCTCAGGCATGAATATAGTTCGCAAAGGCCGTTTGGAGTGCATTGAACATCTATAGCCAATCATTGTCTCCTAAGAGTAGGTTTATAATTATCAGCCGATACTATGGTTGTTCTATTCGGCCTCTCTAATACCAGACAGCGTACAACGTCCAAAATACAAGCCCAATCCCGAGCATAGGGTATCATATTTACAAGCTCACGAGTCCACCAAATCTTAACTCCGCACCGCGACTGTAAGATATAGATCAAGACGCCACCTCTTCAATGAGATACTTTCGAACCGCACCCTTCAACATACTGATTCGTCTCTGAGTGTGTATAAAGACCTCCCGGTACATCTCTAAACTCTGCTGCACAACCTCCGTTCGCGACTTAGACCCGGCGCAGATCTCTCGCATCCGAAGCTCCATCTCTTTGCGAAGAAAGGGTTTACTGAGAGAAGGGCTATCTGGGAGACCGGCGACAACATTGTCGTAGCCCTCTACCAACGCGACGCCGAGGCGAGTTGGGATGAGTTCCTTCACCGCGTTGCGCCCACTTCCACGCGAATGAACAGCAACATACTCTCGCTCCTTGATCTTGGCGATGTGTTCTGCCATAGTAGCGTCGGTGCCAATTCCGTTGGCATCCATAAGTCCGATAAGTTCAGGCTCGGTCAGGTAGTTCGGTGGTGTTGTCTTGCCGTCAAAGATCTTGGCTTCCGTAGGCTCAAAGCGCTCTCCCATCTGGAAGTTAGGTAGCTGTTGGCTGCTTTCCCATTTGTCATAGACATATACGTCAAGATAATTTCTCTCTAAGACGATGAGCCCTTTGGCATGGAACATCTCGTCGCCGTACTTGATCTCGACTTCGGATGTTTGACCCTTTGCGTCTTCAGAACAGCACGCCAAGAAGCGTCGGACAACAAACTCATAGACTTTCTTTTCATCAGCGCTTAATGCGGTTGGTGAAACCCAGCAGATAGGGTGAATGGGCGGGTGTGCGCGATCATTGTGACGGCCTGCTCTGGGGGTTCTATATCCGCCATCGAGAAGACTGGGCCATCGAGTTAATCAATGTGGTGCAAATCTACAATCGTAGAACATACCCTCGGGCGTACTGGCCCCAGTTTGTGTCTGGGAATTGCTTTTCAATTAATTTCTTCAGATCGATGCCTTTATCAAACTGGTCTGTTTCTGTGCGTGGGTAACTTATGAACCCTTTAGTATAAAGAGCTTCGGCGACCTGGAGTCGGTAAGTACCTATACAGCTGAGGCGGGAACTATCCTTACCTTCATAATTTTCTGACTGTCCATGCGAAGATATCTACTACCCATCATTTGCAGGTCTACTGTTGTCAGCGGCAAAGGCCTCCACTTGCTGGTGGGCTTTTGATTGACTTTGGTCACTTCGGCCTCTTTAGCCATGAGACAACGCTCTAGCATCACTGTCACTGCAGCCCTATCGAATAGGTGTACCCTTCTCCAGAGGAAATTCACTTTGATACCGTCGCGGGTATGCATTACCTTGATGCCCCAGAAACTTTCAGGTTTGAAGTTTTTCACACGCAGATAACGGTCAACAACGAACCCCAGTGTAGGAAACTGACAAGATCCTGCCGAAAATCAGAGCTTGGCAAAGAAAGCTTAGTGCAGACAACGTACCATAGCTAATAATCTTCTCGCTCAGAGCCTCTGACATATGTTTCAGCTGAAGGGTTTGCAAGCGAGTGAACGCAGCCCCGATCCGAAGATCTAGCTCTATTCTGGCAGCTACCGCATTCGCTTGAAGATCGTCCAGTTCAATAAGTGATCGAGCCGCATTGAGAACGTGACTTTAAGCATATAGTTAGACAGTTTGTAATGAAACACCATGGGTGATTCTACTCACGCCTTCTCAGTATTGCTGAACCTGGCCCGTTTAACGATAATTCGGGCATTCCCTTCTTTTGCTTGTTTTCGGACCTCTGTCCCGATATGTTCCCCTTCTCGGTCACAGTCAGTCCAGATAAACAAAGCTTTGCAGTATTTCGCCTGCTCTTGTATATTCTTTGCAATGGCTGCTTTGTCCTGTTTTCGAGCTTAGTACACGTTCCTCATAGCCTTGCCATGCCATACAAGAACGACTACATACGGAGTCCACAGCTATATGCACTGGAGCCTCGAATAGTGCACCAGGTGGGCATGATAGCCAGCCCTTATATTGCCGTTCGAATTCCAAGGTCGTCAAGTGTCCAATAACACTAGTCATAGTAACGGCGCAGGTGCCCCAAGAGCCGCCAAAATTGAAATCGAACACATAATTTTTCACATATTGGTTCCCACGCACGGGGATCTACGTCTACCTTAGTACATGTACCCTCACATCTAGCCAAATACCCATATTCGATAACTTACGGTTTGGAAGGAACCTCCAGAAAGATGTTGGCTTACAGCCTTGGCAATGGCAGGCTTCTCAGCCACACACAAGACTCTGGGAACGGTCATGACCGTGGGCTCAGGTTAAAGGTAAATTGAGATAATTTCCATCATCTAAATAGGCCCTTTCGATAGTTGGTCGGATACCATTGCTGGTAGGAAGGAAGCAATTGAACCACAAAAAATACGCGATTTCCCGCTGTTGATACATGCCTTTCTGCCTGAGGCAGAAACAACCAGTTGGCCCAAGCTCCGGGACCCGATGCGGTAAGCGTGAGCTCAAGACTGTTGTTGTCTGTTTTGATTTCATCCGCCCACCTTCCCTTCATTCACTTCCCCCCATTCGCCTTGGTTTGGTGCGATAATCCTTCACCAACAATAGACTAAGCTTGCGAAAATGGCGTTGCCACTCCCTGAGGTCCAGTCTGCCGTGGACTGCGCCTCATTCGATCACACTGTGCTACCATTTCTTTCGCAGTTGATTACTCTCCCCGAAAGGCTTCAGGTTGCTGCGGTAGCCCAGGATGTGGATGGTTTGAAAGAAATCTATCTCTCCACCAACCCTTTCATTACAGCGCTGGGATTCAGTCTAGCCCTATCTGTATTCTTCTTTCTCTTCTCAGAGATCAACCGAAACTACTCCCAAGTCGATCGGTTCTGGCCTTTTCTGCCAGCTATATACAATGTGCATTTCGCCCTTTGGGCACGCATGTCTGATCTGCGCACGCAACATCTGGACACGATCGCCGCTATCTCTATTCTCTGGAGTGTAAGACAATCATTGCGCTAGCTTCTCAATTTCAAATACTAATTGCGCGCAGGTCCGCCTGGCATTCAACTACTGGCGCAAAGGAGGCTACAAGATCGGCTCGGAAGACTACCGTTGGGCGATTGTGCGCTCAAAGATTAACAACGGATTCGTCTTCTTCATTTTCAACATCGTTTTCATCTCCCTGATCCAGTCGCTGCTGCTGTTGCTCCTCGCGGCGCCCACCTACAACTTCCTCCTTCTGTCGGGCCTCCCTGGCGGAAAGACATTTGAGGTCCCCGACCTGGTATTCTCTCGTGTCGCCTTCTTCTTCATTATCATCGAATACTTCGCCGATCAGCAGCAATGGCACTTCCACTGCGCCAAGCATGAATACCAGAAGACGGCGCGCATCCCTGATCAATACAAGAGCCAATTTACCCCCGAGGACCTGGAACGCGGCTTCACTGTCAGCGGTCTGTGGTCTCTATCTCGCCATCCCAACTTCCTCGCCGAGCAGGCTATCTGGCTGACTCTGTACTTGTGGAACTGCTACCGCACCGAGTCGTATGCCCAGTGGACTGGAGTTGGTGTCCTGGTTCTCCTCATGATCTTCCAGGGAAGCACTCGTCTTACCGAGTCCATCAGCTCTAGCAAGTACCCTGAATACAGCGAGTACCAGGCTCGTGTTGGACGGTTCATTCCCCGCTTCTCCGCGAAGCCCAAGTATAAGGGCAAGGCCAAGAAGGCTAAGAAGACTGAAAAGTCTGAGCAGTCGGGAGAAGAGGAGGGCAAGAAGCATCAGTGAGGAGGTGCAAAAGTCAGGGAAGTGGGTTGTGTTGTGTCGATTCTATATATCGGTCATATGATACCAATGGTTTGTTCGGTCTGGGGTTTCTGGGTACATGTATATTAAAAACCTACTATGTTGGCGTTATTCTGTTGAGGTTTTGCAAAGTAGGCTAAAGCCAAATATATTCTAAACATATTATACAAATTAAGTACTATACGAGTTCAAGCCTTAACCAGTATATGCATATGACTACCAATCCGCATAACACTGGTCTACCAGCAAACGAGCTTGAGGTGAATATAAGAAAGATGAGTCAAATGAGCTACCTACTATACAGTACAGTACACCGGATGCTTCTTATAAGAGGGAGAACGTGAAAGCGACAGAGTTGGGGTGAGAAGAGAAGGAAAAAAGAGGAAAATGGAGCGAGATATGAAGAGATCCTAGTATTTATGGCGATGTTGAAGGAGAAAAGGTAAGGAAAAGGAGGTAGAACGAATAGAGGGATTAAAAAGGAGGAAAAAAGAACAAAGAAAGGAGATGCTTCCGTAACGAGATAAATACAAAACCCAAATTGATATATGTCCCCTCGTCAACCGTAAAATTTCCTGTGTCTAGATAAGGAATTCAACAAGCGCATTTGTCTATTGTGGGGATGGCGTTTGGTCTCTTCCGTCTTTGCCTTCGGTGACTTCACTTGACTGGGTGGGTTCGGGAGGGGCGATAGTGGCTCCTTTGGCACCGTCGAAGTACTTGGCGAACTCGCCAGACTCGGGCCAGGGCCTGGGTCCGAGGAGTCGGATGAGGTCGTCACGGCTGAGGACTTCCTTGGCCAGAAGCTCCTCGGCGACGATGCCGACTTCCTTCTTCCTCTCGGTCAGAAGGGTGCGGCATTGTTGGTATGCCTCGGCGACAATCCGACGGACTTCCGTGTCAATATCCTTGGCTGTTTCTTCGGAGAAAGGCTTGTGGAACTGGTTGGGATCCTCCTCGTAGTAGATGTACTTCAGCTTGGGTGACATGCCGAATTTCGTAACCATGGCGGTTGCCATACGAGTAACCTTGTTGAAATCGTCGCTAGCTCCGCTGGTGACGGTATCAAAGTGCAGCTCCTCACTGACACGGCCTCCCAGAGTCATAGCCATACGGTCCATGAGCTGGTTGACATTCATCAAGTAAGTGTCACCTCCGGCTGGGAGATACTGAGCGTAACCCAGAGCGCCTTGTCCACGGGGAATGATAGAAACCTTCAGGAGCGGGTCAGCCCAGCGGAAATACCAGCCACAAATAGCGTGTCCAGCTTCGTGATACGCCACTGTGCGCTTCTCTTCCGGCGAGAGCACAAGGGACTTCTTCTCCAGACCACCAATGACACGTTCGATGGCCTGCTCGAAGTGCTTCATCGTGACATGATCCGCGTTTACACGAGCCGCTGCAGAGGTGGGTTAGTAAAAATCCAAGATGTAACAATTGCAAGGAGGCAACTACGTACCGACTAGTGCAGCCTCATTCACGCAGTTGGCGATGTCGGCACCAGCGAAGCCGGGGGTCAAAGCAGCGAGTCTACCGGTGAGGTACTCCATATCCTCGCTGGTAACAATCTTCTTCAGGTGGACGCGGAAAATCTGCTTACGGCCATCCATGGTAGGACGGTCGATAGAGATATGCCGGTCGAAACGCCCCGGCCGCATCAGAGCCTTATCCAGAACATCAGGTCTGTTTGTACCAGCCAAGACAACCACTTGCTCAGAGGTGTTGAAACCGTCCATTTCAGTAAGAATCTGGTTCAGTGTGCTCTCACGCTCGTCATTTCCACCCCCAAAGCTTTGCTTTGCTCTCGATTTACCGATGGCATCGATCTCGTCGATGAAGATAATGCAAGGCGTGTTCTTACGAGCATTGGCAAAGAGGTCACGGACACGGGAAGGTCCAACACCAACGAACATCTCAACGAACTCTGAACCACTGACACTGAAGAACGGAACACCAGATTCACCGGCCGTTGCCTTGGCGAGCAATGTCTTACCAGTACCAGGAGGTCCAGAAAGAATGGCACCGCGAGGAATTTTGGCACCAAGTTTCTGGAACTTTTCGGGATGCTGAAGGAAGCTGACAAATTCCATGATTTCAACCTTAGCCTCGTCCATTCCAGCCACATCAGAGAACTTGATCTTAATATCTGTCTCGTGGTTGAAACGCTTCGCACGACTCTTTCCAATACCAAAGATACCACTTTGGCCACCGCCACCGCCTGCAGCACGTCTCGACAACCAGAAAACTGAACCAATGAGGAGGAATGTAGGAGCAAAGGACAAGAGGGTGGCACCCCATGATACTTCTTCCGTATACGAAACGGGAATACGTTCAGAGCCAGGGATACCCAGTTCATTCTGCGCCTCATCCAATCTCCGCTCGAAACTCTCAACCGATCCGATACTGAAGTAGTAATGGAATAGGGGCTGGGTAGCCGGAGAATCAGGATAAACCCGAGAGACCGCGTCACGGTTCAGTTCAACCCGAACCCGGTTGCCGTTGATGACGGTCAGCTTCTCGACTAGGCCTTTATCGAAGAAATTCGCTCTGAACTCTTGCCATGTGATATCCTTGCTGTTTTCGCCAGGGAAGAAGCTCCGGTAGACATAGTAAGATAGAAGGGAGGTAACTAGGAACGAGGCGGGGTCGAAACGGAACTCGAAAACTCTCGCATTCGGTGGCGGTTTCCATTCATTCTTGCCTTTCCCTTGTTGTCCTTGTTGTTTCTGGTCCTGTCCATCTTCCGAGTTGTTCTGGTCCCGCGTTCTCTTCTCCTCCAGCTCGTTCAGTTTGGAGGCGTAGTTTTCCAAATACTTCGCCATGTAACGCGTCAAGTTCACGTAGTCCATCAAAGACGTGGGTTTACCGGATTTCAGGTGCTTCTGAATGAAGTCGCGGACCTCCGGTGGTAATCCTTCACTCATCATAATCGACCGCATGTCGTCCAACATTTGGTGCTGTGACTGGGGTACCTTCGATTTCAAATGCTGTATAAATTGATCTACTGACTCTTGCTCTTGCTTGCTGAGCTTCGATTGAGGTTCCTCCGGCTTCTTTCCTTCTCCATCCTTACCACCACCGTTCCCGGGTTGATTCGGCGGTTGGTGTTGACCGTCATTATCGTTCGGGGGCTTCGGAGTCTGGGTAGCATATGTTCTAAGGCGTGGCGTTGTGATGAGGGATGCTAGTCTCGATTGTGAGATATGCGCCGACCGTGGTCCTGCGCGATAGATATAATCTGCGGCTCTCCTCGAATATCGAGCAAGATTGCCTGGCCGTCGGAGTAAGGTGGCCATGGTCGAGGAAGTTGAGCCCGAAGGCAAGGGCTAGGGGGTGTTTCAATCGAGGTTCAGGGACAATGGCAGACTGCCGGATCCATATAAACCCTCGAGAAGCACTGAATTGAAGGTAGGATAGGGAATGGAAAGCTCTTTGGGGGGAGAGCTGTCTTTCGCCGGTGAGTTACTAAGTTGAATTCCCGCCGCCTTTTGTCGG